TCTAAAGTTTATAATTCAAATTAAAATGGTTTGTTTTGATGCTGCATGATATCATTTTGTTATGAAAGCTTTCAAATAAGTATCGTTGGAATATTTTGGCGGGAATATAAGAAACTTAAAAAACGTAACTTTAATTAAATATTCGTAGTGGTTTAAAACAAGAAAATTTCCTTTATTCTTTACTCTAACCACTCGTATGACAAGCATTTATTCAATGCTTAATAAAATCACTATGTTTAGGTTTAAAGTGTCTCAGAGCCAAACTCTATTTCTGCTTTAAGATTGTACATCATTTTTAATGACCTCTAAGCAGATTGTTTATTTGCTTGAAAATAAAAAAGGATTGTTTTCAAACCCAAAAGATATTAATATTCTGATCTATTCAATCAATCTCAAATGTAAACGAATTAAGTCATGAATAAAATAAAAATATAAGTCCCACATTTTGAAGCCAACAACGTGACTTTAATCAACGTTTGTTTACCAATTGCATCTGTCGATAAGAAGGGAATCAATTTATCAAATTAAGTACTGGTGGGTAAGGCAATTGAATACTGATAAAATAAAATCGGTTAAATGACTCATCAAGGTGTAATAAAAGTCGTGGAAATCAACGGGACGACAAATACAATTTTCGCCTATTTATCAAAAGTCTAAGCAAATATGAAAGAGAGATTAATACGTTAGAAATAAGTGTCAAATGCAAACTCTTTAAATTTCTTTTGAAAATTGACGAACTTCGCGTTGACTAAAATAAACAATCATAGTGAGAATCAAATTTCTTTCTCTCATTCTCTCAAAACACTCAATGCAAAATTCATTTAAACTTGTAGTGAATTTTATCAATGAAATTATTTCTTCGGCATGCCTTTTCGCTTTCTTCTTATCCATTAAAAAATGTAAACATTGTAATACATTCAACAGTAGAAAAAATATTTGATAAAAAAACTTTTACGAGCCGACACGATTAAAATTTACGCTTGCGCCGAAGTTTTCGGCATAAAATGTATGGAAAAAACACTGAGTCAGATGAATATCTGTATGCGAAAATGTTAAAATATTATCGTTGCGGATGTTTGAAGCGCAATTCTTGATTTAATTGATGGGTAAACAAATTTTTTTCAAGATTAATTGTAATGGAGCTTTTGTATTGATTTTACTGATGGATTAGTTTGAATGCTCTGAGTCCAGGGATTGCAATTTATTTTGCTCTTATTTTTTGAATTGACTAGATGTAGGTTGGGGTTTTGGGAGCTGTTTAATTCTTAGAAAACCTATCTTATGAATCCCCTCCTGAACATGATGATGATTAATTCCTATTGATCCACAGTTAATCAAAAGGCGTTAATAAATCTGGTATTTATGTTTCTTCTGCTAGTTTCTTTGGTTATTGCTTATGGACCTCAATATAGCTAAATTGCTTCTATCGTTAGATTTGATTTATTAGGTTATTAATTAAGAACTTTTAAATTCGTGAGAAAATGTTCCAAATATGTCAATTATTCAATCTTTCGTTCATTAATTTTGAATGTCCATATCAGCATATTTTACCACACTCGTGCTACTTTTAATGATTTGAAAACTTAAAAACATTTCGTTAAGTTAATCATTTCGTTTGAAATAGTTAACTTGAATAGTTTGAATAATTCACTGTTTTCAGCCTAGAATTCTAAATGTCTAAATCCAACATTGCCAGTTACTCAGTCAAAATAACAATATAAGCACATGCGCTTGAAAACAATACAAAAATGAACACACAAAATAGCAACGTTATCTTAGATAAAGAAGTATTGGTATACAATTTTTGCGATAGCAAGCAAGTATCTTAGTATGAACATTTACTTTTTTCACTGATGAAAACTGCCTAGGTAAGACATAGGAATGTAGTAACTAACACTTGAAGAAAATGATACGTGTTCAGTTACATCCTGACCGTCAAACGTTCAAGTATCATTGGAAATTGTTGTTTATCAGAATTTTCATTCCACGTGAAGCTGCAACTTGTTGCTTTAATGATTCTTCTTATGTGGATATAGTTAAATGTGTTCATCGAATAAATAAACTCGAATCTATTTTCGTATCTCGAATCTCATTACTTTTTTTACTTTAAAAAATAAACAAATGGTTCATACGTAGTATGAAAAATGAAGTTACCGGTGTCAAAGTGTATTACTATAATAAAATTTACAAAAATTTAAACTCGATAAAGGAATTTTTTGCATTTTAATCGAATCTTATAAAAGGTAAGCAAATTTTAAAGCTATTTTTATGTAGTTATGCATGCATAAATTTAATTAATTCAATAATAATAATTTTATTATGCTGTAAATAACCTCTTTTTTGTATTGTTTTGATTAACACAAAAGTATTACTTTATATTTTTAATGCACTGACATTTTTTGTTGCGAACATCACGAGCTATTCGCTAGAATCAACATTTTTTCTGAGTATTCATTTAATCAAATATTGACAATTGTTTTCTTATTTTTTTTTATTTATTTAAATATTTATTTTCCATTTAACAATCTGATGTTGATAAGAATTGTCGCATTAACAGCATTCGTCTTATTTTAAAGCTCAAATATTAATTTGAAGAAAAGTATTAAATCATGTGCATAAGCTTGCTTAATAGTCTGTGAAGAAATTAATGATGACATTTTATTAATTTTAAAGATGAAAATTTCATTAAGCTTATATGAGGTTTTCGCCTATAACGCCCTTGAAATTTGAATTTAAAATTCCAAAACAATGCCAAATTTTTTTTTTAAAAAAAAATTCTCTAAATTATTGACATCAATCGTGATAAACCCAACAATTAAAGAAAAATTTTATGTGCTATTTACTCTATTTTATAAAAAGATTTCTTAAAAAAATCACAGAAAATGCGTCTCGATTCTAATTTCTAATAAAATAATGAATAAAATTATATCTTAGTCGTATTTTTTAAATTACGAGATGAACGTGGTATTGAAACCTTGTTTTTGCTTGGATTTCATATTTAAGAAAAAAATGCAATTATAAATTGTTTAACAGAAGAATCTTAATTTTCGCACTATTTTAATTAAACTGTCCTAAATGTTCGTATTTTATAAGATCTGATGTTCTGGCAAAACAAACAAAAGATGGTCGAAATTCAATCTGTATTTTACTAAGCCGACCCTAGCTTTAAAGTTTTGAAAACTATTTTTAAATGATTGTCACACCTATCAACCCTTGCATTCTAAATGTAAGACGTCACAATTGAATGACCACTTTAACAAATATTTTTTCCGTAGGTTGAAGAAAGAAGGTATAGACCGCTCCTTAGCTACGTCTCTGCATTGACAATAGCTCACCAGATAAGGTTACAAGAAATAAAAAGTTATTTTTTTTATCACGTAAACAAGCAATTTTGCAAGCAAATTAAATATTAATTCCTGCCATTAATTGTAAAAGTTTTTGAAGCTACAAATTTCCCCAAAAAAAAATTATTTCTGGCTTTAATTCTGGTTTCATGTTAAGTTCCTGTTATTATTTTACTATTAATCTTGTTTAATTGACCAAAATAGACAATTGCCTTGCCTCTTGATATTTGTCAGAGTGCCTTTCATCTCGATATCATTTAATGAGATGGCAGATGTAAGTTTAGCTTGTATATAAACCTACCCATATTTAATTGGAAATTCATTTTAACTAATTTAATAAACATTGAGAAACATTTCAACTTGCTGAGTACGCATAAAAATATTTCACTCAATTAAAAAAATTATTCAGAATCCGGAAAAGATTATTAAATTAACAAGAGTAAGCTTCATAGCTGAATGACTTTTAAAAAGGATTATTGAAAAAATCTACCTATAGTTGGGCACATTTGTTCAAATTTAAATTTCCTTTTAAGTGAAAAATTCAACCTTTATTCATGAACCATATTTTTTACCTAATTTTCGTAACAAATTAATAAGCTTAGCTGTGTAGCATTTTCATTAATTAGCTCTTGTTTCATGGATACTGAAAAGTTTGATTTGTTATTTTTGTCTTAAAAAAATTAATTTGGCAACATTATTTAAAAATTATTGTCATTATGATCAAGTCATTTTGGTACTTTCTAAGTTATATAATTAATAACTTCTAGCATTTAAAAAAAAATCTTTAATTAGATTAAATTAGAATAGGTTTCGGTTATGCTTCATAACCTCAAATTTTCAGCAAACGTTTGTTTTCTTATTTAAAACATAATATTTTCTTTGCTGTTAATACTCACATGAATTTTGAAAAAAACAACATTATTTAGGCCTTTCGAATTAACCTTAGAATACTTTTCATTTTCATCTTTTTGACTGCTAGCAAAATGGGTTTATATTTGACCTGAACTTTTTACTTTGATTTTATTTATATTAATTTAGGTCTATTGTTTCCCTTCAATCTTTGTATTATGTTACTGGAATTTTTATTATTTATCCTGACAGTCATGGAGATTTTGCTTTCAAAAAGTTACAATAGAATTTAATTTAAATTTTTCAGATATAAAATTGCATGTGGATATTCCTTTTTGTAATCATGATATTATATTTCCGAAAGAGACCATTTACTAGGCAACAGGATGTTCCAATTTAGGAGTCACCCAAGGGTTATTGTGCATAAAATGACACAATATCGCTTTTAATTTAAAAGCTAGAATTTCGTCCTTCTCAGATTGGCTTAAAAAAGAGAAAATTTTTAAAATGCGTCTAGAAACAAATTTATTTAATTTTGACTGTTTGACTTCTTCATTTAAACCCTCTAATTAGCACATATTTTGATTTGTTGCTTAAAAGTAGATATCAAAAGCAACAAGAAGTCTCATTAATTATTTATTGTATCACGTACTTAACGATGAGAATTCTAAGATGCTTAAACCTACTTAAACATCGAAATATCCTTAAGTTTTTACATTTTTCAAGGTCTAATTTCTATTAAGATTTTCATATTTCTACATTGCATGAAACTTTTAAGTTTATCATATTTGGTTGATGTAATAATTCTGTAAATTCATATTCTCGCACTAACAACTTTATATTATGGTATGGTACATATTTTTTGAATGTTTATGGTTTTCTCCTTCCATGCATCACCACTTACTAAGAAATTTATGTGCAACCCACATTAACTACCTTGTTGCTTGGATATATAGCATTTTAATACTTTCCTCTTGAATGAACACTTTTTTTTTTGCTATAAATTATTAATTTATCTAATTAATTAGTCATTAAGTTTGAGATAAAAACAAATGAGCGGAAGTATAGCAAAATTATTTTAATGAATTTTTCCCTTTTCAGGCCTAAAAGGATGTTGCACGTTGTTCTATTGGTATTTTTTATTTTCTTTTTGGTATGCGGAATAGAAACCTATGGTATTGGTGAGAATACAAATATACAAATCTCACAGACCCTTTTTTGCTCATTTTTTATATTATAATTGCATGTTGCTAGGTGTAAATCCATCAGTAAAATACGCTCGAGTAAATGATACATTCGAAATCAGTTGTTTTGTTCCTCAATCTGGCGGAAAATTAGATTTCTATGATGGTGATGATCTCGTACCTGAAAGCTTTATTAAGGTACTGTCATTGGATTTATGAAAAATATTTTTCGTAACTATGTCATTTTACAGAGATTAAATGATTCATGCATTATTTATGTAAATGCATGCACAAAGGCTACAAAGAAGAATATCACATGCAAAAGAGAACAAAATAGTATTGGACTAAGTGAGATATATGTTGAGGATAAATTTGCTCCTGTCCATGATTTCAAATGTCGAACAAATGATTTACAGAATCTTTCATGTACTTTCCAACAACCTCCTAGCTATCATCCAATAACATATCGCTTATCATATACTATTCGCAGTGGAGAGGTACTGTTAATTTATTTTTTCTCGGATTTTCTAAATGTCAAGTGGAAAAAATCTTCATTTCTTTACAGAAATTCAATTGCAAGCTAAAACCAAATATGAAAGGTGGCTATTCCTGTAATATTACAGTATCAGAAGAGCCTTTGAAGTCAATTTTTAATTTCACACTTCGTGGGCAGACAGAGTTCTTCAAGAAAAGAGAGAACTTTGATATACAGTTAATGGAAACATTGTTGCCTAAGCAAATTGAACAAGTCGATGTGCAATTATCTAAACCTCATGATACTTCATTGTCAAATAAAGCCTTTGTTATGTTTTCGTTGCCGAGTTACCTAGAATCTGTAGCAAAGGAGTTGATGTTTGAAGTTAAAATTAAAAGTAAATACGATGACGAGTGGGAAAGAGTAATCATTAAAAATTTCGAAAGTGACAGCTATAGTGAAAGAAAAGTTCTAACTTTAACAAACATTGAATTGGCAAACACCATTTATCAATTAAGAATTCGCATGAAAACAAAACTTTCGAAGGATACGGATGAAATGTGGTCACCATATATAGAAAAAAGTTTTAAAACTCACCCAAAACTTCCTGAAAACCTCCCAAGCGTATGTAATAATTGTTTTAATGTTATGGAAAGTGGAAACATTTATCTGTACTGGACAGAGGTTCCAAGGTCATATCAAAATGGAGACAATTTTTCATATTTACTTCGAATTTTTAATCCGAGAACAAACGAGTTGCTGAATGAAACATTTTCAACAAAAACATCTCTTATGATATCAAATAGAATTAGCTACAAAGTGCCACATTTGATGGTTCATATATACAGTTCAAATTACGAAGGTTTATCTAAGAATTATGCCTCAGTTAATGTGTATGGAAATAAACCGAAAAATTTTCTTCACATTAAAAAAGAATGGAAAGATATAAACATTGGATATAAATTGTCATGGAGACCATACGATAAGATCATTGATATTGTTAATTACACGATTGTATGGTGTCATCAAGTTAGTGAATTGCCAAATAAATGTGATGGTTCAATAAAGTTTTTAGATGTACCTCCTTTTGAAACGCAATTTTATCTAAACACGTCTATTTCACATCACTTTGGAATTGCTATTAATACAAAAGATGGACGAGCAAGGGGAATTCAATGGGCAAAATGTACTTCATCGAAACCGAATGGTATTTTATTTTTATTAAGTTTGTAAATAATTCCACTCCTAGAGTGAATTTTATGTTTATTTCAGAAATTGGAACTTTACATTCAATATGGGCAAATTATTTCAGTGAAAATTCAATTGTCTTCAGTTGGGAATTGAATTGTGCTGATAAAGATATAATTTCAGCTTACAGCATCAAATACTGCATTGTTGCCGATTTTGATAAAAAAATGTGTTTGGAAAATGAAAACTACGAAATGTTAAATGTAAGCAAAGATGATCAAAAAAATACAAATCTATATCAAATTTCGAATTTAAAACCTTACAAAATTTACAATATATCGATTGCATTGATAAGCATAAGTAAACGTTCTGGTGCCTTCTCCAAACCAATTATGATACGGACTTTGGAAGGATGTGAGTAAACGTCAAGTTTTAAGCTACTCTTTAAGGTTGTTCATTTATGAGGGTTCTTAAAAGATTAATTATTTATGGATGTTATAAGTGAATGATCCCGTTAAGAAACCAGAATTAAAACAAATTTTAATTCAATTTTATTAATCCAATAGCACCTTCTGCTCCTCAAAAATTAAAAATTATCGATGTAAAATCAAATTATATTGATCTTCAATGGAATAAACCTGCTGAAGTTAATGGACCATCGCTTACTTATCAACTTTGGTATAATGAAAGAATGATTCACATTGACAATAATGAGACAATGAACGATACATTTCATTATCGTATAAATGACTTGGAATCGTTTACAAATTATACAATAACAGTTGTAGCATGTACAAGAAACTGCTCGACATCAAGTGGTAGCGTAATTCAAAGAACAAGAATAGGAAAGCCGGGTCGAATTAACCTCATTGATATTATTGGACATAAAAATGGCAGTTTGGAGTTAATTTGGAAGAAACCGAAGAATTTTGGCGGCTACTATGAATACTATTTACTTAATGTTTCAAAATATACTAGAAATTTTTTATACAAAATATCGAGTAATCGAAATTCGTGTATTATTCAAGAATTAGGCTGTGATAATGATAACTATTTAGATTTCTATATGAGAGGAGTAAATGTAGATTATACAAATTCAGAAATGCATTATGCAGCTGTAGTTGATTCAGAAAATTGTTTGGCTAACAAAATGGATAGTAATGACGTGAAAGAAGATGATAATGAAGAAGGCGAATTTTATGGTGATCTTTCTCTTCTCCTTCACCCATGTACAAATAAGTCAAGTATTTTGCTTTTCACGCTTTTATTAATTGCTGTAGTTCTTTCAATAGTTTTAATATTCACCAGCGGAATTAAACTCTACAAAGCTTTTAAAAAGTTGCAAGGCATGAAAGATATTAAAATTGTATGGCCTGATGGGCTTGATCCTAATGGGACTATAAAAGGTGAATCGATATGCTCATTAGCTGATTTTGATTTGCTGAAAACATGCAAAAATTTAGAGAAAATTCGTGAAGAAAGTTTTAAAGAATTGGAACTTTACGAAAATGATTTAAATTCAAAAGAAATTCAAGAAAAGCTTTCCGATGAAAGCAACAAAGAGCTATTAGCTCCTTTATTCACAAAAAGTCAAACGCTTGATGTGATTTGTGATGGTCCGATAGTCAAAACAAAATCGCTTTCTGTTCCAACATCTCCATTAAAAAATGATCCTAATATTGATAGTAGAACTGGTTATGTTAAAATGCATCAGCCTCAAAAATCACCAACTAACGTATCAGTAGGAGGGTATTTAGATATGACCGGAAAATCATCAAATCCGTACATAAATCAAAGTCATATGTTAAATTCAAAGGACATTAAATCTTTTATTCGAGACTCCCAAATGAATAATGGCTACATACAAAGGAACTCGATTAAAAATTCATTGCCTATAAAAAATTCAAGTGGCTATGTAGGCTTTCCAAGTTTTAACAAAAATTAGTATTGTAGAGTTGTAATATAGATGGGAATTTCATATTTACATGTTTTTAGTGATAATATTACCGTTAGGTTGCAATTGCAGCTAAAAAAAATGAAAAGGCTATAAAATTAAGGCAGACTATTTTAAGATACAGATAACATATTTTTATACCATTGCTAAATTTTGTGGTTTTAAGCTTTAAATGTCAAAGAAAGATAAGAACAAATTTTTATTACACAATAACATCGAAGCACATTTTTGATAAAAGCAACTTTACCTTACTGTCCGTCAATCAGTTCCGGATAAATTATTCACGCACTTGAAATAACATTTTCTCTTCTGTAAACTCAAATTTTAGCAACGAAAAGAATTCATCGGTTTGAAATCATGTCAATTTTTTTAAAAAATGTTAAATTTAAGGAATTTTTAAAAGTACAAAATACAAAATATGTACTGTCAAAGTCATTGTGAACAAATGGAAATAAAATTTTTAAACTATTTCATCTTCAAATTTTTTTAATGGAAATTTATGTCTTTAATAACTTTAAAAATATTTGATCAGGCTCGTTGCCAGAGATTCAAATGATATTCTCATGTAAAAAATTTAAAATTTCTGGCTATTATAATGTAAATTAACTATTGTCATTGTCACGTGACGAAGCATTTGAAAGCTGCTTACAGCACTACCGTAAAATATTCTACGCCTTAATATTACAAAATTGCGAAAGTGAATTAGACCTAAGGGGTAAGAACAAAGACTATTAACATAATTAAACGTTTTCTTTCAATTTATCATTGTAAAGCTAAGCATCAGTACAAGCATTAGTATGATTAATTAAAAAATACTCTTTTTTCATGATTCCTTTAATGTATTATTAATCATAAATTAATTTTGTCTAATTTAATTCATTTTTATCAATTTCAGAATGCATCATTCATGTAAACGAGTAAAAATGTGCCGAATAGGATTTTTTTTAGCCTGTGTTATTCTCCTTAGTTTTATCAATACATCAGAATGTACTCAGTATGTTACAAAAGGATGGACAGATCCAAAAGGTGAAATAAATATTGAGCGAGGTACAAAACTAAGGATAAAGTGTGTTGTTGAGAATAGTGATACAGACATAAGCTCGCAACTTACGTTTAAGAATAAAACAACGCTCATAGATCCACAATATATTCATCGAATAAATGATACAGCCATAGAATTGGTGATTCCAAAAGTGCCTGAACAAGATACGATGTTTGTATGCTATCTTGGAAATAATGCAGTTACATACAATGAAATTCGTGTTGGACGTAAACCGGATAGGATTGAGAATATCGAATGTACTTCAAAGAACTGGATGTTCATGACATGTACTTTTAAGAAGCCACTAAATCCAGTTATTGTCAATTATGATCTCAAATATCGTATAAAGGATTCAAATCAAGTTCATGCATGCGTTCAGCCAGCAACAAAGGATTCCAGCATATTTAAGTGTGATATTTCTGCTGATGCATATCGAAAGACGAGTCAACGATTTGTTTTTATGCTTTATGCATCAAATCGCTTTGCAAGTGTTAATCAAACATTTGAAATCGACAATTGGGCTAACGTAATACCAGACAAACCAGAAAGATTCAACATAACTGCTACATATTCGGATAGAATTGAAGTTGCATGGAATGTACCATTAAAATTGTCAGTTTTCCCAGAAAGATTTGATTTTGAATTCCTCATAAACTCAACTGTTGAATGCGGTGAAAGTCGATCCATCTTGTTACCAAATTTCCCAGAAAATCATGAAATTGAAAAACGTAAAACATATGTTTACAGCATTCCAGTAAGATATAGCCACACATGGTACGACATAAGCATTCGAATGAAAGTATCAACAGCAGAGAATATTGAGAAAATGTGGAGCACATGGGAGACAAAGCAAACAACATCAGGATCACGGTCTCCAGACATTCCTCCGGAAGTTGATGACGGAGCATTTAATATTCATCCAAATGGTGACTTGTATGTCTATTGGAAGCATCTCCCAAAATGTCTTTGGAATGGAGAGAATTTTGGATATGTTATCAAGTCAGACGATAAGATGAATGAATTGCCATTTGAAAATTCAACCATTCATGCTGTTTATCGACGCGGAACAATTAATAGACAAAAAGATACAAAAATAACAATTCGTAGTAAAAATGAGGTTGGTGTATCGATGAATGTGAGTGAAATTATCATTCCTGGAGAAACGCGATTACTGGAGGGACGAGAAGAAATAAAGTTCAATAAGAAATCAATCAATGGTACATATTATTTGTCATGGACACCACCAGAGCGTATCAAAGATGGAATAAAATCATATACAGTATTTTGGTGCCCATCAAAGACCGAATTAATAAACCAATGTGAAAGTTCAATTGATTTTATTCGTCTATCGCCTTCAGAAACAAGCTTTGAATTTAAGTCGGATCAGACAATTAATTTTGCGATTTCTGTAAATTCTCCTACATCAACAACTGGTATGATTTGGGCAAAATGTACAACGGCAAACAGCCAAGAAATTGGAAAAATTTCTACAGTCAGAATATCGCATTTGACATCATCTGAAATCGGTATGGAATGGGGATTAGATTGTACAGATTCAGGAATTGTTGCTGGCTATCAAATTGAATATTGTCCCACGAACAAACCGAAAACATTAGAATGTATGGAGCCTGAAGTAAAGAAAAATATAACAATTGAAGGTACACAATACATTTTGGGTGGACTCACGCCATACACCACTTATAAAATCATCATTCGGATGTTTTCAAACTCAACAATGGGACCGCCAAGTGAACCTTTGGCGAATACTACGCTCGAAGCTCGTAAGTACTTAATGAAATGTTTTCCATTATTAAATTTTATTGCAGGGGCGTATTCAGATCCATTAAAATGTTGAACTTGATAAAAGTTAAAGAGTTGAGTAAAAGTCTAATTTTCTCAGAAGGATTCAATCTTTATGCATTAGAACTTTCTGATGAAGTGAAAATACTCTTCACGGATGTTGCTTATCAAAAAGAAGATCAATCCATCAGCATGATCCATGGGAAATACTGCCAATATAGAACTGAAACTTAAACCAATAACAAATCCCTTTTGACTTTCCATTATTCATCATTTGCATTACATTATACATTTTTTCTTTTACTTTCTTTGTTACACAATTCAGCTCCATCACCAGTGCAGAACTTGATAGCACGAAATGTAAGAAACACAACTGTAGATATACTCTGGGATCCTCCATTACATTTTAATGGTGTCTTAGTTGTTTATGAGATTTATATCAATGGAATATTAAAATATTCTCACAACACAACTGTTAGATCATTTACAATTGACAATTTATTGCCATACACAAAATATGACATTGCTGTACAAGCATGTACAAATAAATGTTCCGAATCGGCAAAGACTAATATACAGACAGCAATTGGCGCGCCAGGAAAGTTTGAAAAGCAACCAACAATTGTGAATAAGGGAGCTACAAATTTATTCAACAATAGCTATACAAGTGGAAATATTCAATGGGAAAAGCCTATGTATAAAGGTGGTAAACTCGACTTTTATGAACTAAAGACAACTTTCCGAGGTACAGATAACAGCATTCAAGAGAGTACAGTTCGGTTAAAGGCACAAAAATGTTTTATGGAAAAATTGTGTGTCAACAACGTGACTGGAGTTTATCAGTTTTCAGTACGTGCTGTAAATTTCGTTTTTACGCCACATGCGCCCGTAAATAGGACATTCGACATAATTGGAAGTTCTGAATCTATAAATTGTGAAAATGATGAGGTATTAATAAGATCTTTAGATGAAGCTTATAGATTTGATCCTTATGGTTACCTATTGTTTGGCGAATGGTCTGAATCGATTGGACATTCTTGTCATTTTTCAAACTTTGACTCGAAATTGACAGCTTTCATTGTCTTCTCATTGGTTGCATCGCTTGTTTTTGTCGTCATGGTTTTTTATTTGTATCGAAAGATAAAGGACATGAAGGATATTCTTATTCAAATGCCACCTGGTTTAGAAGACTTAACAAGCGATAAATTGAAAAAGGGTAAGGATCTGAATTCTGAGAAAAATGGCAAGCCAGATTTGTTGCACAATGTCGATAGTCAATTTATAACAAATGAAGATGAGCATGGTCGGTTACTAAGAGGATCTTTAAATGGAAGTATCAATGGAAATGATTGTAGTAGCAGTATGCGTAGTGAAAGTATGAGAAGTGATGGTGAAACTGTCGATGCTTTAGATGATATTGAATATGATGGATTTGGACAACATCCTGTGAATACAAATGGCAATAATCGTCATTTTGGAAACGATAAGATTCCGGTAATTACACGATCTATAAATTCCTTTGATCTTTTCTAATCCTTAATTTTTCTTTCATATAATCCACAGAATTTCTTACTAAATACAGACGTTCCAATCATGCCAATTTTGATTTCGCCTGAAGCAATTTCAGCATCAACGCCAATAGTTGAAAAATGCCCGAAACCAACAACCATCGCAATAAAGACTAACAATAGTGGATATGTAGCACCACCAACAAGTCATAGAAATCCAGTTCCTATTAATAATGGCTATGTAACTCATTCAATGATGAATGTAAGTTTGCTATTCGCATCTATCGACAAAATTGAAATTCTAATTGTTCCTTTTCTTAACAGCCAATGCAGTCAAATGGATACACGCAAGTGAATCATGCATTCGGAAAGCCAAGCATCAAAAATGACTTTACAGATAAATTCAGCGCTAAAACATTGCCGATGATTGTAGCAACAACAGATCAAGAAGGAATTTCTGGTAAGTTTAATCTAAATTGATGAATTTATTCGGGGTTGATCTTAAATGATGTTTTACTTTGAAGTAATAATGCTATGTACAATATTTTCTGAATGTCATTTAAAAGCGACTCCTTAGAGCGTTCAGTAGAGATAATTTAGTCTTGAGACAAGCCTCAGATTTTATTTAGATCTAAACCACAGCAAATATGCTCGTTCCTTTGTAACTTTTTGTGGAAATTGAGTAATGAAGAATTTCAGAGTCTGTTTGAGTTTATATTCTTACACATAAAGTTTTATATGAAATTTATTTTCTTTTAATCCGAGAATTTCTATCTCTGATGACAACAGATTCTTGCATATCCATATTTCAAAAGAAATAAATTGGAATAAGAATTTTGTTACTTTAAATGATAAGGATGTAGACATGGTTACTTGGGATGGTTCATAAATGGATGTTGACTTTATATATCCAAAAATGCTGTGATAATTATTTTTGATTTATGGATACTATTTTTAGACACACAAACAATGTTATCTTAATGATTACATGATTAAAGCTCATTAATATAACAATAATTTATTGAAATTGATTGTGTTTATGCCTTTATTTCGGTTTAATCATTAATGCTCAAATATTAATCATGTTAAGACTAGCAAAAAGGGGGTAGGGCAATTGATATCCCTCCTAGCCAGACAAATCTTCGATTTATTAATGACTTCCATTACAACACTCCAGACACCCTCCTCTAAAGGCTAGACGTCATTTATGAACGATCACATACCAAAGATTAAGAAATCTGATTCCTACGCTGCTTCTCATAAAGTAAAATTGATCAATCATTCACGGACAACATTTGTTATATCCATTATTAACCACAAATTTTTATTTTTCATAATTTGCAGGATATGTGACACACAAACAGTTATCAGACTTTGGACATCGTATGCAGTAAACAAGCATCATGGCAGTGATGAATGGGAAATCTCTTAAAAAAAGTTTACATAATATTTAGCGGTAATTGTTCATTACAATGTAAAAACACACATCCCCACACACCCACAAATTGCATGGAATGAACCCCTAAAACATAAGAAGAAAAGCAAAAATATTTTTTAATGTATAGAGACTCAGTATATTTATAATTAATGATTATTTGATGAGAATGATCGACGTGAGAAAGAAGTAATAATTTTTTTCAAGATTGAAATCGATGGATAAATTAAGATCGAGATGATTGCAAAGATGGAACGAAAAAAAAACGAATGCAAAAGTTTTTGTTGCTCAAATTTTTTTAATTAAAATATTGATATATATAGAGAATATATATAATTAAGTATTGAATAAAAAGCAGGTAAAATGAAAGTTGAAGAAAATAAAAATTTACGAGAGAAACCTTAGAACAAATAAATTAGTAACTAAGGATATTGATTTAATTAAATAAAAAGTTAAAGATAAACAAATCAAAAAGTTATGAATTTATTTAAGGTGAACTCTGCTGGAAATTTGAATTTGAGGCACGCGTTTTGTCGTCAACATCGAATAAGCCTAATTATCATTCATTAATTGGTTTTTAAGAACTTTGCATAATTGAATCAAAACAATGATTTTTGGATTCGTAGCTTTACTCATGAATAAAAAATTAAATGGAGATCGGGTTTTTGTGAGTATAATTCACAAGTTAAGTGTAATTTTTTACAAACACGGAATTCCTGGAATTCTATCGTCCCTGATTCGAACAATTTAATAATTTTGACAGCGAAAGTTGCCAAGAAAACTTGTAAAAATGTCTTAAATGTCTGTCATACAAAATTCGGAATTTCACACCCTGATTTCCAAAATTCAAAAAAAAAAAAAATTTAAATTAAATTAGTTTTATATGAAACATTGGTGATGTAATCAGTTACTAATGTAGCCAAAACTTCATATAATCAACAAGAAGCTCTAAGAAAACCACTTGAACTTTTAACGATTTTTTGAAATTCGAATTTTTCGAACGTGCATATTATGCACACCCCTTGACTCTTAATAAGTTTTTCGAACATAAATTGTTCGTATCTGTCAGTATCTTTAATATTATTTCCAGTTAAGGCTCTCTCCCTCTGCCTAAGCATATTATTTGCTTACTAATTAGGTACCAATTAACATTTCTTCAACCCAAAAGTCGTCAGATTCAAATCAATGTTTATATTTTTGAGAACATACTTTGCTGCTCATTTCTTGGTAATCTCAAAATATTCTTTATGCATATATTTCGTGACTGAGTTAGAGTTCTTATAAAAAATTCAAAACATCTAATAAATTGCTAATAAGAAAATATTTGAAATTTAAATATTTGTTTTTAAATTGAGCAGCTTCATCCGCTTCAGGACATTCATAAACAAGTAAATTTTTTTGTCAAAAACTTTTAATGAGCTTCGCATTAATTTCCTTTAATTAAATCTTCAAGTTGTGAACGCCATCAAAATTTGAAAAAAATAAATAAATTACATGCCATTATTTATTTTTGTAGCTATAAGAAGCCATGCCTAAATTCAAAACTTCCAGCAATTATTAAAAAAAAATATATTAAAACAAGGTAAATATTGTACGAGTAATAATTACTTAAGCATTTGAAACTTATTTGTTTTAAAATAAAAGGGAAAAAGAAAAATTTAGAGCACATGCCGACCTTTCGGGACTTCTTGCTTCCTTTTAGTCCATCGAGAATTTGTCAATTACTTCTTTTGGAAGTATTTTACCTAAATTATTGTGAATATAAGCTTTAAAATCATTATGAATGATAAAAATCTACACAGGTCTAGTAGATAATCCTCATAACTTGATTTATATGCCTAAGTAAAGTTTAATATGGAAGTTTCTACTCAAAAACAAATTAATTTAATTTGAGAGTAGGTGTCACTGAGTTAAGAAATGTTAAAAATACTTTTTGATGGCATTGATCTGTAATTTCCCTAGAAACTGATATTTAATCAATCTTGCGAGAGTTGCTTTGAATTTTGTAACTATGGATTGACTGAATTTGTCAGAATTGAGTTATTAAAATTACAAATTAATATCAGTAGCGACTCTACAAAACTTTGTGAGAAGTAATAGGTTAGTATTTGAGCTTAATGTACTTCAAAAACATCATTTTCTGCCTAAGACCTGATGTGACTGTCTTTTTCTTGAAATAAAATATTTAAGTTTGTAAAATAATTTAAAGCTTGCAATTTAAACTGTAAAGTCAGACAAAACTCAAATTCTCAATCTGCACCACTTTAATATGAAAGTATTGCTTCAACAATGTTTGAACCTTCATTATTTGACACATAAATAGAAAATGAATTCATTAGAATTCAGAGAATCTAAAGAGCAGAAACATACTTTAAAGTATTTAACTTGCCGAGAATATTCATTGTTATTTGAGTAAACAATCATGAATCTAAATTGTTAGTATGAATTTGAATCAAGCTTCAACATAGATTTTGTGATCTTAAGGCTTTAATTAAATTGATCTTTTGTGATTCAATCTCTTCGATTTAAATTGATTAAACAATTGATTTTGTCAAATTATGAATAGAAAAGTTAAAATCAAGCTCTATTAAGGAAATCCTTTTACAAAGTCAAATCCTACCAACTTTATTGATGTTGAATCCTAAAAGTGATAAACATTTTGACATATTCATTAAACATTTTACTTGCATGCAGAATTTATGAAGTCATTGACAATTCTAAGAATTGTAAAGAGATGATAGATTTCAAATGACAAGGATCTCAAATGAGATTATTAAATAAATCAGATGGCAAAGTCGATTTCGATTTCATACTAAGTCTGGTCGATGTAAAAATCTAAATTATAATCTCATTTTATTTTGTATAGCTCAATCAATTACAGTTCTTATAGAACTAATCATGAGTTATTTTAAATGTCCAATTTAAATTTGGGTTCAATCCTTTAGTTTTTTTTTTGTAGTTGAGTTGAGTCGTCCCAATTTGATATCATCATAAATAGATGATGGCTGATTTCTCGAAGGTAGCCTGTTAAAACTTTGATGATAATATTGGTCAACGGAGATAAAATTCAAAACCCAGGAGTATACCCGAAAATTTAAGAGTTTGAAAACTTAACTCAAATTTGATATTTAATTAAAGTCAATTCGATTAGATACAAAATTCATGTCTGATTTGAGCTCACAGAACAGACGCCTTCGCATTCTAGTAGGAAAATTTTATTATACAGGAGATTTCAAAATATAAAAGAATTCCAATTTGGACCGAAATTAATACAGAGAAAATATTATAGAAAAAATAATAAAACTTTTCGCCTTAATAAAACTATTTGTGAATTGATAAAAAAATTAAAATTGTGAGAGGAAAATTTCCTTTGCCGACGTCTTTATTATGTGCATAAATACAGTGCTTTAATATTTGAGAGAACGATTTATAAAAAAAAATAATAATAAATATTGGAGAAATAAAAGCAGAAAAATATATTGTCAATGTTTAATGTTGAGAGATACTTAGATAAGATAAGAATCTCAATTACAAAGAATGAGAAAAATAATAATGTTGTACCTTTTTGGATGATGATGCTATTGTAATGTTTCTATGAAAGATTTCCTTTTGCAAAGCATATAAAATTACAGTGTTTTTTTAAAATATCATGTTACTGTATATGACTGTTTCACATGTTGCATTATGTTACATCAATGTTTTTTCTATGTCATAGAATGTTGGTCGAAAAACAAACAAGAAATAAAAGAAAAATGTCTTGAGCTTTAAAGTCAAGGTTTGAAAATCAAGGGTGTGGATCTGATAAAAATTATCAAAAGTTGATTGATCAATTTCGTAACTTTGGTTAAAATTTAAGGTCAATTGCAAATAATCTCCAAGATATATAGATGTTCTCATACAAAAATATCGCAGTTTTTAACCGTCAAAAATTTGAATTTTCTGTAAACACTAACACAATAAAAAATTTTTTAATTTTTGTTTTGCAGAATTTTCAACTTTCTGTTAAGTTTTGTTTGTACAGGAGTATTGCAAATGCTTTAATATAATTAAAAGTAACTGACTAAAGTCAAATAGTGATGCAATTATCGATATTTAAATGAAAACTTGAATATGGAAAATTTAAAAAAATGTTGCTTGTATTAGTACACAAAAACTAGTATGGTCAAGTAAACTCTGTATGAGCACATCTATATATCTTGATAATCTCAAAAATTCTTAAGCTGTAAAACAAGTCTAGAGCACGATTACTGAACGTACCCATAATTTTTTTTAAGGAATTGAATCATTTTTGTGAAGCTCTATACATTTGCTTAAGTGGGAGTCTAGGATTTTGTAACAACTAAAAGGGGGAGAGGGTTCTAAAGTTTTTTTTTTGTGGAACGTAACTAATCAACGAGTCCTTAGTAGATTCAGAATTTCCACAAACTACTAAGCAGTCAGTCACTCATAATACTGTAATGAGTAATAATAAGGAATGCATTTGTTGTTAAAAAAATCATCTTTGATAAATGAATTCTCGGGGATTTTTTAAAAATGATTTTTGAGATTTTATGGAATTGAACTTAAATTTCCGTACCTTGATTAAAGTTGAAGTAAAAAAAAAAATATCTGATTCATCACTAAAAGTTAACCTTATATCGGTCAAGTTTGCTATATTTAAGACAAAGAAGGAGTCAGAAAAAAAAATTAAAGTCCTTCTTACTATGACTACACCCCTACACGATGATCGATGAAACGAAACTTTTTAGTGATGTTTTGATAGAAAAAAAAAACAATCAAGAAAATAATTCCAAAATAACACTTATTATAACCTTAGCAGCAAGTTGAAATGAGTTGTGTAGGAATTAAAACGTGGGTCATTTGACTGTTGTATCGTGATTCATTTAAGCAAATCAGTATATTGTCTAAGTTTAAGGATTCATTTTCACAGCAGCAGTTCACTTATTGCGTTTTCTTTTGTTTGAACTGTCATAAAATCTAAAGCTCCCCTCACAAACGTTACGTAATAAGTGAACTGCTCCATTGCACTTAGAACATGTCGACATGTATTGATTTTACGAAGCTGTGACATACTTTTAAGGACGAAATATATTTTAAGGCATTGAAACTATTCAAACTAATGAAATATTGTTCCTTATAAGCTCAGCTGTAGTTTTTATTTCGAAATCACCCTGATTTGATTTTGATTATTTCTTGCAACAGTGCAATTTTAACATTGTGTAACCAGAATCAATTTCATATCTGAAATATGTAATATTCCAGATGTTTATAATTCATTTGTTGCTGTGATAGCAGATAGATGTTAAGCAATCTTTAAGAAATTGAATGAATTAAAGCTGCAACTAAGCACCGATGAAATTCGAATGTAACATTAGAATTGCAAATTAATTTTACATAAAATTTAAAACAGTAAAATCTTTTAAATGTCCAAGGGGTTGTTTACTTATTACGTAACACATTTAATAAATGGAGAAGGAGTTCTAGAAATTTGCGAAAATTCAAAAAAAAATTAATATGGAATTGATTCTGGCGTCACAACGTTGAAATTGGAATGTTGTCAAAAATAATTCAAAACAATTCAGGATGATTCAATTTCTACGTTACCAAATAATTGAACAGTCCTAACCTTAAGGCACTACATTGAAATGCTCTCTAGCAACATTCTGTTAAAAATCAGATACAACAGTCACTTGCTCACCTATACATAGAAGAATAAAACATAAATCAACCCTCCCAAATGTTTTCATCCTAATTAAATGTGAAAAGAAAATAAAAACACAAAACTGGACATTGCGTCAATTATTGCAACTTTTTTCTCAATGAGAAATCACAGAAATTATAGATAAGGAAGCACAAGAAAGAATTTGCACTTGATTTAGATTGAAGTGAGCACTAAGTGAATAATATTTTCATTAATTCACAAAGACACACATACACAGGATTAAAAGAAACTTAGATAGATTATTTCTAGCATGTAAGTTACGTCCAATTCACGTGCAAAAAAATGAAATGAAAATATGACTGAATATTGAAAAAAAAAGTAGATAAAATTTAAAATCCCATTAAAGGGATGCAGTGAGCGCATTTTTAGAAATTGAATGTAGTTTACAGTATATCATGTACTAATTGTTGACTATATAGAATATAAAATCTATAAGCAAAAGTCTATGATATTTGAGAATTAAACTTTAAATGTCTGTTATCTCAAAGACAGTGAGAATAGAAAAAGAAATTAATCATCGAAAGTGCGCTCAGCTACAAAATACTTAAGAATGGAATTAAAGGGAATGTTTGGATGTTACGTAACGCTATAAGGGTCGTCGAGGAGTTCTGAGTGTTCAAATTTAAGATACTCAAATTCTGAAATTAAAATTATTTAAAAATGTGGGAGGAAAATGTTTTGACACCCCCCTCCCCCCCCCCCGCCCTTCCTATTCTCTGGCTAGACCCTTAAATGCCTGGTCATGTGAATAGAAGTTGATTGTAGCGTTACTTAACATCCAAACAACAACCTTACGAGGTCGTCAAAGACAAAACTTAGCATAAATGAGTTTGTTAAGCTTAAGACTTTATAACTGTTAAGTGGACACTCTTATTATTAATTGGTTCTTGTCATTGAAAATACATAAATATTTAAAATAAAAAAATAATTGTAATTTTTATAATAAATTTTGAAAATGAAGCATTTTCTATCCTTTTTCATTGTGCCTATCCAATTTATTTTTCTTACCTTTAAGTTTATATATGAAAAATTATTTTTTATTAAAAAAAAACCTAGAGCTCTTTATTATTTTTTTATTGCCACAATTGTATATGTAATTAAAACTTAAAAAAAAAATAAATTGAAAACTTTTAGGAATCATCCTTTATTTTGTATGAATCTTGTGACGTTCTGTGTTTGTTATGTCTATAATTGATTATGTTTTTGCAGCAATGATTTTATTCGCAATTAATACTTGAGCCAACTATAGTATTGGGATAATATTAAATCTTTTGTCATCGCTGTATTAGAGAAGACAAAAATTGCTGTTGGCACACCTATTACAATCAGCGATGAGACATTAAACATACCCTTTAGATTGCTGATGGCAATTGGCAACCAAAATGTATCTCTACTTATGTCGATGAAGATTTAAAGAAATATCAAAGCTGTTTTTAAGACGTCAACATTCAGAAATAATCTTAATAATTATCGAAAATCTCAGCATTTATCTAACATGGTAAATGACATCTATGTCCACAGAACTGCATCACTGCTTAATTAATCAATAATCTTTCTTTATTTCAAATATGGAATTATTGTAGTTTAAGTTACATTTCTTTGAGTCTTATTTTGACACCAGCCTGAATATGGCTTAAATTCAACTATATCTTGATTAATTATTAATTTTGATGAATGAGATTTACATATATCATGAAAATGTGGCATAAAAAGTTTAAAAAAATTGCCGAGCGAGAAAAAAAAAGCCAATTTAGAAAACAAATAAAAAACAACTTTAAAATTTTTTCTGACAGAAATTTTCAAGACAGATTTATGATTAGAATTATCAATTCTATTGAATTGAGTTACGTCCTACAGTAACAATTTATATCAAATTCCATCCTCGGGTATTTTATTTTAAGAAACTTTAAAGCAACTGAACATAATAAAAATATAATTTAACTTTATTATTGACAGAAAATTACTTAGCTGTAGTCAATGAAAATCGCAATATCTAAATTATTTTCTTTTTAAAGTTGAGTCCTTCTAACTTCGTTAAGCATACCTCCGCCTATTTAATAAAGCCTTGAAATGTTTAACATGCATTGTTATCATTTAAAGAAGATGTAAACTTTTCTTAGAAGTGTTAAATCTGTGTTTGGCTAGTCTTACTTATTTGAATAAAAACTAAGTGGAAAATTAAACGTTTTTAAAAGCTCGTCTGAAAGTTCTCGTTTACGAGGAACATTTTAAGGTATTTTTTTATTTATTATAAAATGCTTGTTGAACATTTCAGAATATTTTTAAATTTTATCACAGATACTAATCTTAAAATAATAATGCATATCGCAGATTAAATATTAAAGCTTTATATTACACCCATTAAGGATCATGATTCTTTAATTTTTTACAAAATTGTCATTTCACATTTTGCTTAAAACTCCAGAGCGAAATCTAATTTTTAAATTCTAATTAATGTTTATTTATTTAATAAGAAATGTGAAGGTTTCACTTTGCTTGCAAACGATTCTTAAGATTTTAAAGATTTTATTTCCAAATTCTAAACAATGCGTCTTCGAATGCTATGTTCAGATATTTAGCATTGGTTTCTTATTTAAGATTTTCATTAAGACAAATCATGAATAACAATTTTCCCGCCTTTTTAAGCATCTTAAAATCATCGATTAAAATAATTTCAAATAAAAAATTCGAAAATCAACGATTTTCTTTTAAAATTAAAGTTTTTCGTGCATGTTTGAGATTTAAAAACATTTCGGACGTTGAGAATAATAAGTGTTTTTCGAGAAACAATTTGATTTTAGTTTATAAGCCATGAGTAAGTCAAAACTTGTTGCATCTTGCAAGTAAAGCAATAAATTAAAAAGTGAAATGGCAAATGAAATGGCAAATAATAATTAATTTTTATATTTTTTATAAGCCATAAAATCTAATTAGGTATGAAATTTAAAAAGACAAGACTTAATGGTTAACATCAAGGTTGTATAAATTGAATGCAGGGGGAAAGGGGGTCTAAAATGTATCTAAAACAGTTTTCAAAGACAAAAAGTTAAATATTGGAATCTCGCTCCCCCCACTGCTCCCCTACTTTATACAGCTATAGTTTGTAACCAACAGTAAAAGAAAAACTGTTTATATTATTAAGCACATAGATTAAAAAATGCACTCATGCACAGATTACTCATAAATAATTTGATCACGATGTTTATCGGATACATGAGATGCAAGACTTATGAATCACATAAAGTTGATGTAATTACCGAAAAAAAAGAAGCAATTCTCTCGCTGAGATCATTTTTGGATTGAGAATAATCTCCTATTGCGTCAAATTTGATAACACATAAATTTATTTTCATTATTAATTAGCTCAAAATAGAGCGGCTTTTCAATTCACAGATGTGTGTGCAAATATCATGAGAGTACTACACATGGCATAAATTTCTCTCGTCTCTTTGTGCTGTGCTCGGGAGGAAACAAGTTATTTTTCTACTGATATCGCAGAATTCTATTTAGTCACGATTTATTGCATTGACAGAAATGTCGCGAGTACGGCGATACACTTTTGATGGACATCCAATATACTTGGTAATTATTGAGGTTTTAATGTTATAAATTTATTAAATTTTGTTTCTTAATAGCTTGGTGAAAATGGAACTGAATTTTATCAACAAATAGAAATTCAAGATTTTTATGCTTTAAGGCAGCAATGCTTAGATTCAAGCACATTATTCGAAGATTCAGAATTTCCAGCATCAGATCAAAGCCTGTTCTTCTCATCCAAGTCTAAAGTGTCATACAAGTGGCTGAGACCTGCTGAAATATCTGAAAATCCTCAATTTTTCGTCAAAGGATATTCTCGATTCGATGTTAAGCAAGGAAGCCTCAATAATTGCTGGTTTATTGCAGCCGCAGCTAATTTGACTCTTAATCCCAAATTATTCTCAAGAGTTGTTTACGATGACAATAATTTTGATAAGAATCATTACGCTGGAATTTTTCATTTTTGGTGAGTGACATTTCTTCCGGTCTAAGACCCCAAAAATAAGTGTAGATAAGTATCATTAGCATGCTGATGCTAAATGAATTATAAACTATTTTTAGTTGATTCTCAAGAACTTAGAGTTTTTTGCATTGTGTACTCGCTTAGTCACTCGGATATAGCAATAAAGTGATATCGTTAAAATTCTTAATTTTTATTGTCGAACAAGTTCTTTAAAATATGGAATAATGCTTGTATTAATCAGAGTTCATAGCTTTGTTCAGTAGCATTGAGAATAAAATTCTTAAATTTCTAAGCTTCACATCAGAAAACTAGGATTTTTCACAGCAAACGCAACCCTCCCCTCCCCCTCTGTTTCATGTCAAAACTATTATACATATTATCAGACCCAAAAGCGTATTTAATTGAAGTGTTTTTGGTGTTAACTTCTATTTTGAAAAATTCTTCTTTAACTTGCCTAGGTTTTGCCACTAAAATTACTGGATACGCCCCTGATCAGACCCCCCCCCCCCCCCTAAAACCTTAAATTATGACATCATAAGTGAATGAATGACCACAAAGCTCTACCGCAATAACCGGCTAATATAAACGTTCAAAGATAATTAATTTGGCAAAGGTGGACCGCTCATGTCACATTTGCGGAAGCTTTTAAATTGTTCTAAGTACTCTTAATTAGACTAATTCTAATGCTAGCTAAAACATCATTCATGATTTCCATCTAACTTCATCGGATCGTTGACTTATGGCGTCTGAAATAACGGTCATTTTTTAAAAAAGAACAAAGGATTTCTAGTAATTTAGGAGTAATAAGGACGTCGAACTGCTTCAACGTGGAAAGAAGCATAAGATCAGCTGAGAATAGGTCAGACCCTCTTCTATCTTTCGAATTTAAGTACCAAATTCAGTAAATTTATGGAAGTGATTAATTAACGACTCTAAGAGATCCTTTCGTGAACATGAAAGAACGTTGTATGAATGAATGAACATAATTTAAGGATTCAAAGCTCCTAGCGCCTAGTTTTATTATTTAAGTCTCGCGTAAAATTGTTTCAAGAGTAAATTGATAAGGCATTTATAAAATGTAGAAATTTCCTTAATTTATTTCCGAACACGACCCCCCCTTCTTCACTATCTTTTAACAAAGACATCATATGTGAACGACCTTCAGGAACAACCTTAGAATGTATCTTACAACTTCAATATTTGAATAATAATCACGTGTCAACAACACTTTATATTTGCATACAATATCATTTACAAATGCTAATATGAATAACAAACAAATTGCAGTTTCTGGAGGTTCGGCAAATGGATAGACGTTGTGATTGATGATCGATTACCGACAATAAATGGAAAATTAGTCTACAATTATTCAACAGATGACAATGAATTTTGGTCAGCATTACTTGAAAAGGCTTATGCTAAATTACATGGAAGTTATCAAGCTTTAAATGATGGACATACAAGTGAAGCACTTGAAGACTTTACTGGTGGAATTACTGAGAGATTCAAGTTGAAAGAAGCTCCATCAAATCTTTATGATGTACTTGTTAAAGGGTTTGAAATGAATTCAATGATGGGATGTTCTATTGAAAATTTCGGACAACAGACTATTAAGAAAGAGAAGCTTGGGCTGTTTTCAGGTCATGCATATTCAATTACAAAAGTGCAGACTGTTGAAATATTTCATAATGATCAAATTAGAAGCTTTAACTTGTTGCGTCTGAGAAATCCAGAGGTAAGAAACCATTAGAATACTGATTAGTATTTCTTAGCGTTTATTGCATGTATGGTAACTTTGTAACAACTAAGTTGTATCACTCGGGACTAAACTGTTTAAAATATCTTTCAATTGGTTTCAAATTTTGCAATACTTAGTAATCATAAGAGCTTTTAAAATCTTTAAAGTATGCCTTATTTCAGGGAAATGAATTAGAATGGAACGGTCCATGGAGTGACACATCCCGTGAGTGGCAATTTATTCCTATAGAGACAAGAGAAGAACTTGGATTGACATTTGATTTCGACGGTGAATTTTGGATGTCGTTCCAAGATTTTTTGAGAAATTTTGACCAGCTAGAGATTTGCAATTTGTCACCAGATTCATTGACTAATCAACAAAAGTCAGGTTGGAAAAATAATTGGAGTTTAAATGAATTTGAAGGTCAATGGGTTGCTGGTGTGTCTGCAGGTGGATGTAAGGATTTAGAGAAGTTCTATCGCAATCCACAATATATGATTCATCTTAAAAATCCTGATCATGATAGTAAGGATGGCAGATGTTCAGTTGTTGTCGCTTTAATGCAGAAAAATCGTAGAAGCCAACAGAATATTGGACTTAAACTATTGACAATTGGCTTTAGAGTGTATGGAATCTTTGATAGTGAACTTAATCAAAAACCATTTAAAAATGGGTTACTCATGAAAACGTCAAACTTTATCGACTATCGTGAAATAACTGAACGTTTAAGTCTCTTACCTGGACATTATATAATCATTCCAGCAACAGTCAAACCTGACGAAGAAGGAGAATTCTTGATCCGTGTCTATTCAGAAAGTGAAAGTAAATTTGAGGAGCATGATGTTACAGCTGAATCAGGCGATGTCGATTCCAAAGTGAGTTTCGAATTTAAGATCAAGTTGACAATCTTGAGTATGGATTTTAATAACACTGATAATAATTTTGTAACTTTACCTTAATATTTGTAGATTGTTGATGATCTTCCAGATTTGAGATCTCCAACTGATGACTGGTTGGAACTTGAGACATTTTTCCATGAAGTAGCTGATGAAAATAAAGAAATAGGATGGGAAGAATTAATACAGCTACTGAATAATACAAGAAGAGACAGTAAGGTTCTATTTTCAATCAAGTAACTGAGTTGCATCTTCTTTTATGTCTTTCTAGTACCAATAAAAGAAACTACAGAAAATGTCAATAATCAGACAATATTAGAAGACTATGAAAAACAGCAAATGTATCCAAGAAGAAATTGTCTAAGAGCCATCTGGGACTTTTTAACCTGTAACAATAAGTTGCATGATACAACTATTAATGCTCCACTGATAAATGGAAATAACATTAAAAGTGACAAGATTGCAATGCACAATTCACAACTGAAGATTAATTCGATTCAAATACCTAAAAGTGCTGAATTCTCAGAAGAAGTTTGTCGTGCGATGGTTAAAATGCTTGATTCTAATCAATCAGGAAGGCTAGGATTAGAGGAATTTAAAATTCTAATGTTTGAAATCGCAAAATGGAAGGTAAGATGAAAATTCTTCTACATTCTTAGTCATCAATGATGTGATGAAATATTAATCTATGCAATCTTTGATAAAAACTTGATTCGCTGGTGGTTTGATTGTGATATAGTGTTTATGCTTCTATAAGTTTTGTTGATGTCTATCTTACCTGCATCAGCTTGTCCTAATTCTTCAATAAGTCTAGCTTCTCTTCCAATCAAGAATACCAAATAAACATTTTTATCGAATCACTTTTCTTTTCCTAATCCTAAACCTTAAAACCGATGAAGCAATTCCATTATCTCTTGCTTCGTTTTTATTCTTTATTCAACGACTGACTGTTCACTTTTAATATTTTTCAACTGCTCCATGTTAACCGTGTGATTTATTTTTCAAAACTGAATGCTTGTAATTTTAAATTTTCAAAGATTGCCAAGATTTATTTTAAAATATTCAATAATCTTGATCAAATCTATCGAAATTACAGTATTGCTTCATAATTTTGATTTTTCTACTCATAGGCTGTCTTTAAGCTGTATGACAAAGATAAAAATAACAAATTGGACACTCATGAGTTCCGTGATGCTATGGAATCAGCTGGCTACCTTATAAATGCTAAAATTCTCATTTCACTACTTAATCGATATGGATCAGCTGATAAAACTATGGCTATGGATGTTTTCATCATGTGTGCTGTTAAAGTTAAGACAATTATTGAGCAATTCAAAGATAGCACTGGACAAAAGAGAGAGTCAGTAAATGAGTTGATTGAACAAGCTGCTTATTAATAGATTCTATGTGGGAATCCAGGAACAAATATGATCAACTACTTTTTTGGGTATCTGAAGCTGTGTAAGACTTTATAATATCAAAAAATTGAATGACGTCATTCCAGAACGACCTCCTAGATACTCCTATATACATATTAATTTTGATACAATTTAAATGCCATTTATATTTTTGAAAATAAACATGATAATAATAGCACATGTGCTGTTTTGAAAATTAATGAATGAGATTGCTTTCAGAATTATGAGTATTGTGAAACATGCTGTAAGAGTGTGAGTGTTTAGATCTTACTCATTGTCATATTTCTCTCATCTTTGTCTGTTTGAGTATAAACAAAATTTTGTTTTTAATTCTTCGAGTCTGACGAATATTATTTAGTCAATATTCATAAGTCGTTGACAGTTTATTGTGTTGAGCGTGATGTCTCAAAATCAATGGTATATTTATGATCAACATCCAATATATTCGGTAATTGCCTTTGTTTGAAGAATATTTTAACAAATTTGTGTAATAAATTCAAATGTTTTAAGCTCGGCGATTATGGATGTGATCGTTATCGTCAAGTTAATAAGCAATACTTTTATGATTTACGGGAAAAATGTTTAGAATCTAAATTGCTTTTTGAGGATCCTGTATTTCCTGCAAGTGATGAAAGTTTATTGCCAGATTCAAAAGATCAGTATGAATGGCTTCGTCCATCAGAAATCTGTGAGAATCCTCAATTCTTCGTCGAAGGCTACTCTCGATTTGATGTACAGCAAGGTGTTCTTGGCAATTGCTGGTTTATTGCAGCTGTAGCTAATCTTACACTCAATCCAAAGCTTTTCTTAAGAGTTGTATGCGAAGACAATACCTTTGATGAAGATCTTTATGCCGGTATTTTTCATTTTCGGTCTGTGTGAATGAACTTTGGACATCTATTTTTAGTTCTCAAATACACAATAACATTTCAGGTTTTGGCAATTCGGTAAATGGGTTGATGTTGTCATTGACGATCGCTTACCAACGAAAGACAAAAAGCTTGTATATAATAAGTCAACAGACGAAAATGAATTTTGGCCAGCACTACTTGAGAAAGCATATGCAAAATTACATGGAAGCTATGAGGCACTTGTTGCTGGACATGCAAGTGAAGCACATGAAAATTTTTCTGGTGGAATTACTGAATATTATAACTTAAATAGTGATGAAGAAAGTGCTTTAAATTTGAAGCACATCCTCAAAGGGCTTGAGAAAAATTCAATGATGGCATGCTCAATAAGGCAATATGAGACAGACACTGGACCAAATAGAACACCAGAAGGTTTAGTGAGAGGTCATGCATATTCAGTTACAAAAGTACAGCATGTTAAGCTTAATGGAGGAGGTGAAATTCTGCTGCTACGGTTGAGGAATCCTTGGGTAATATAAATATTAAGGTTGTGAGCCTTTAAGTACAACTTGAAACCATAGTGACACGTAGGCATCTAGCATCTCCTAATCTGTTGCTTATTTTCAGGGAAATGAAGTAGAATGGAACGGTCCATGGAGTGACAAATCAAAAGAATGGCAACTTATACCAGAACATGAAAAAGAGGAAATCGGCTTAACCTTTGACTTTGATGGTGAATTCTGGATGACTTATGATGACTTTCTGAATCATTTTGACATCTTAGAGATCTGTAATTTATCATTTGAGTTATTAACTGATCAGCAAATTATAGGCTTAAAAAGGAAGTTTAGTTTGAATCAGTTTCGCGGAGAATGGGTAGCTGGTGTGTCTGCTGGTGGATGTGATGATCCAGAGAAGTTTTATCGTAATCCACAGTATATAATCCGTCTTAGAACTCCAGATCATGACAGTGAAGATGGAAAATGTTCAGTTGTTATTGCATTAATGCAAAATAATCGTAAAATTAAGAAAGAAGGCTTAGAACTGCTTTACATTGGCTTCAATATGTATTCACTATCTGAGAGTGATTTAAAGCAAAAACCATTCAGGAAGGATTTCTTTGAACGGAAAGAGAATCTGACAGATGGAATGACATTTGTTGACTTACATGAAATGAGTGCTCGATTTAAACTCCCTCCTGGATATTATTTGATTGTTCCAGCTACTTTTGACGTCAATGAGGAAGGGGAATTTTTGATTCGTGTTTTTACAGAACATGAAAGTAAATTTGAGGAGCATGACGATGCAGCTGAGATAAGAGAAGTTGACTCGATGGTAAATATTTTAGCTTTTTTTCAGGATATTGTTTATTGAGTATTGTATTTGCAGATCGCTGACAATCTTCCAGATATCAATTTCCCATCAGACAATTGGTTGCAAATTGAGAAATTCTTCTATGACATTGCTGATGATAGAAAGGAAATTGGCTGGATTGAGTTGAAGAAAATATTGGAATTTTCTATGATGGAAAGTAAGTTAATGATGAGATATCCATATTTATAAGTTGTGGATTGAAATAAGATTTGACTGTGACTATGGCATCTTGATTATAGCCAGAAACCGGCCCAGGTCATTCAAAAATTCTGAATTAAATTTTTTATTACAGCAAATGCTAATTTAGCTGCAAAGCAAACAGCAGAAAGTAAGCAAGAAGAACAAAGACCCCAAAGAAATTTTCTGCAAATTATCTGGGATTCTATGACTTATAAAGAGATTTTAGATCCACAAGTAGGAGTATCGATGTTTAGTAATGTTATTAATGATGGAATTCTACAAGCAATGAATCCTGCGCAAGGTATGAAGCTACAACGTTTTAAATTTTTTTATGGCTTTTGAGTTTAACTTCCGTTTTTAAAGATCCAACACATGTGGAGTTTTCAAAAGAAGTTTGCCGCTCGATGGTTGCAATGCTGGATTATGATCGATCAGGCAAACTAGGAATGGATGAATTCAAGAAATTGATGTTTGAAATAGCCAAATGGACGGTAATTGATGCATTCCAGTTCCTTAATTTTTCTTAATTTACATTATTTCTTACAGATTGTATTCAAACTGTATGACAAAGACCACAACAATAAATTGGACACTCATGAGCTACGTAATGCTCTAGAATCAGCTGGATATCGGCTAAATTACCGAATTTTAATTTCACTTGTGTATCGTTATGGATCAACTGATAAAACAATGACAATTGATGACTTCATCATGTGTGCTGTTAAAGTTAAGACAATGATCGAGAGATTTAAAGAGAAAGATTATTACAGAAGGAATCAAGCGCTGTTTACCATTGAAGAATGGATTGAACAAGCTCTTTATTCGTGATTATTTGGCTCCATCACCAGTTCAAACCTGCAAAAAATTCATATTATTTGTTTAACATCATTTATAAAAGATCCCCAACAATTTTTTTAAAAGATTATGAACTTCATGAACTGTTGTTACCTTGCAAAAAACTATAATAAGTATTCCATATATATATAAGCTAATTGTATTGAAACCACATGACCAATAAATAATGCATTGTCTACTGATGAATAATCTTATTTTATTGCAACACTTTAATCACTTGAAAATTGAAGCTAATTGGGTTATTTTGCGTAAATAGTTGAATGAATGTTTTGAAGTTTATGAGTGGTAAGTGATGAATAATTTGATTTTGTTGGGGAAATGACTTCTGAGTCATAAAAGTCTTGTCGTTTTATATTGTGCAAGCAAACACAAGCAGCTGTTTCTTATTTGCTCCAAAATTTTACTAATCCAAATGCGACAACAATTAAGCTTGACGAAAGCTTTGTTATTGATCCTGCGTACATTTCTCAGCTGAGTACAAAAATACCCAAATACAGTGTTAAGTTTCTCTCATTGCTGCTTATAATGTTATAATAAAGAAAACAAGTTTTTAAATTGATACCGCGAAATGCTGCGATTTTTATTCAGTTGTGATCTATTTGTCAGTGAGACAGGATTAAATCGGTCAAAATGTCACTAAAACGGAGATACACATTTGATGACCAGCCTATATATTTGGTGATTATTTTTATATAATTATTAAATTAATAAAGCTGAATAAAAATGTCTATAGCTTGGTGAAAACGGAACTGAATTTTATGGTCAAATGAAAACTCAAGACTTCTATGCTATAAGACAGCAGTGCCTTAATTCAAAGACTTTATTTGAGGATTCAGAATTTCCAGCAACAGACCAAAGCCTCTTCTTCTCATCAAAATCTAAAGTGTCATACAAGTGGCTGAGACCTGCTGAAATATGCAAAAATCCACAATTTTTCGTTAAAGGATATTCTCGATTCGATGTCCAACAAGGAAATTTATTCAACTGTTGGTTTGTCGCTGCTGCCGCTAATTTAACTCTCAATCCAAAGTTATTCTCAAGAGTTGTGTTTGACGATAATAGCTTCGATGAGAGTCTTTACGCCGGTATTTTTCATTTTTGGTAAGTGTGAATTATTTTCGTGTGACGAATAAGTGTGAAAAAGAAGACATTATTAACATTCTATTGTTAAGCGAATTATAATTACATTGAACTTACTAAGAATGGTTTATTTACATTTGCTGTCGATTCTAAGAAATTTGACATTTTTTAAGTTTAGAAATATTTTGCAAAACTATTAACGTGTCAAACAAGTTTTGTGCTTTAATTTCGCATTTAATTACTTCCTAAATTTTGTAACATGTTATACTTTTTTCTAAGAAAACAGTTTTAATTATGAACTTAATAAGTTTTGTTAAGTGATCAGATTTTATACAGAAGTACGGAACATTTATCATGATCGTGGAACAAGGTAGCTTGCATATTAGTTCAATATTCATTGATGAGATAAACGTCAAGCTGTGAAACTATCCGCACAATTTTTTTTACCGCCTCTTAAGCTAAATTCCTTGATTTCCCAAAGAATCTTATCGGCTTTTATTATTCTAGCTTTTGGCGCTTTGGCAAATGGGTGGATGTTGTCGTCGACGACCGTTTACCAACTGAAGATGGAAAATTAGTATACAATCATTCTGCTGATAACAACGAATTTTGGTCAGCATTACTCGAAAAGGCATATGCAAAGTTAAATGGTAGCTATGAAGCATTGGTTGAAGGAAACACAAGTGAAGCACATGAAGATTTTACTGGCGGAATTACTGAAAGATTTCAATTAAAACAAGCTCCAGAAAATCTTTTCGACATTCTCGTTAAAGGATTTGAAAGGAATTCAATGATGGGATGCTCAATACAAAGTACAGATGGCGCTCGTAAACAAGAGACTCCCGAAGGTTTGTATCTAGGACATGCATACTCAATCACAAAGGTTGCATATGTCGATATAGCAGTGCGAGATAAAAAAGGACTAATTCCGTTGATGCGATTAAGAAATCCTTGGGTAAGTGCTTCGTTTACTTAAAATCAATGAACCTTACACAAATAAGTCATTACGACTTCAATTAATGATAGAGGATTGATAATTTTACAATCTAGCAAAATTAAAAGCTGGTTAAAGCTCAACTTCTAAATGAACAGCTGCTCACAATATTCTCATTTTCAGGGTAATGATTTAGAATGGAATGGTCCATGGAGTGACACATCACGTGAATGGCAACTAATTTCTGTAAAAACAAGAGAGGAACTCGGACTGACATTTGATTTCGACGGTGAATTTTGGATGTATTATAATGACTTTTTGAAGCACTTTGATAATTTAGAGATCTGTAACTTAACGCCAGATTCCTTGACTGATGAGAACAAATCAGATATGAAGAAGAAATGGAATTTGAATATATTTGAGGGTCAATGGGTTGCTGGTGTGTCTTCAGCTGGATGTAATGATCATGACAAATTCTATCGTAATCCACAATACATTATCCATTTGGAAACTCCCGATTTTGACAGTAAAGATGGAAAATGTTCTGTTGTAATTGCATTGATGCAGAAAAGTCGTAGATATAAGAAGAAAATTGGTCTGGATTCACTGACAATAGGATTTAAAATATACTCACTATCTGAGAACGATTTGAAGCAAAAACCATTTAAGACGGATTTTTTCAAACATAATTTGTCTACAGAAGTATCAATATTTATAGATTATCGTGAAGTTAGTGCTCGTTATAGATTCATGCCTGGATATTACTTGATAGTTCCAGCTCCATTTGATACAGACAATGAAGGAGAATTTTTAATCCGTGTCTTTTCTGAAAGTAAAAATAATTTTGAGGAGCATGATGAACAAGTTGGATTGGGTGACATCGACGTTAGAGTAAGTGATTCAATATTCTGACACGACTTACTTAACTGAACTATAACTTGTTCTTCCAGATTGCAGACAATCCACCAAACATTCATTTTCCAAGTGCTGATTGGCTGGAAGTTGAGAAACTTTTCAAAACTTTAGTCGGTAATGACAAAGAAATCGGTTGGATGGGATTGAAGCAAATACTTCATACATTTTTTGAAGATGGTAAATCTTTATTTGATTTGATTGTTCAAATTCCTGTAAATTTTTATTTTAGTGGCTGTCAAAAAAGAGATTCAAAATGAAAATACTAGTTTAAATGTTAATGACAAGCATCAAAGTCGATCTCTTGGAAAATTATTAAAAAGCATTTGGAATCATTTGTCATGTAAGAAAGTTAAGAATGAAGGAGCTAATATTCCTCTTTTAAATGGAAATGATATTAGTAAAGCTACTGTTGTTCCTGTACAAAATGGTAAGTTGCTCTTCAAATCGTTTTTGTGTCATGGCAAAGTTCAATCAAGACTTTATTCTGTAGTCATGCATGGTGAAATAGCTTAGAAGCATATTGTATATAACATGCATTACATCCTTATTATCTTGATCTAATTTACTTGACCTTTAATTTATCCTGATTATTTCAGAATCAACAAGTCTTGATTTCTCAAAAGAAGTTTGTCGTTCGATGGTTGCAATGCTGGATTTTGATAAATCAGGCAAACTAGGATTAAATGAGTTAAAGTGCTTATTCAATGAGATTACAATGTGGCGGGTAAAATGATAAATCTTAAGCAATTTAAGCTGTAATTCATAAAAACCTCTATCTAGTCTGTCTTCAATCTATATGACCAAGATCATAACTATAAACTTGACAATCACGAGCTACGAGATGCTCTAGGATCAGCTGGATATCGTCTTAACAATCACATTCTATGTTCGCTTCTCTATCGTTATGGATCTCCTGATAATACAATGTCAATTGATGACTTTATCATGTGTGCTGTTAAAGTTAAGACAATGATCGAGCGTTATAAAGAAAATGACACAAACAAAGACAATCGGGCAATTTTCACAGTTGATGAATGGATTTCCAGTGCTTTATATTCATAAATTAAGTTTTAATCATTTGTACTTTTTTAATTGAACAATGTTTTGTATATGTTATGCCTGCCAATTTCTTGTTAAAAAATTAAGCATTCTCAATATTGAATTTTCTCAATAAAATAATCTTGAATTCTTCAGTACAGCATTTAATAAAATATTTTAATTCTGAGATGACAAAACAAGGAATTAAGGATACAAAAAGGATAAAGCGCTTCTATATCCTGCGTTTTTCTTACGTTTACATTACGGATACGTAAAATCGAGTTCAGAAAATTTGCAATAAGAAAAAATCGCTCTTTAAAAATTGTGCATCTCAGAAAAAAAGGATGTAATTTTTGATTTTTGATTTTTTAAAAGCGGTTACATCTGATTTGAATTATCGGTCGTTTTAAAAATATTTTTTGAGTTAATTTCTATTCTAAGAGCAAAATAAGATATTTTAAGAGGGAAGTTAATTTTTTTAAAAGTAATTAATCCTATTTTTGGTATTAAAAGATGATCAAATTCAAATTTGCTTTAATTATCCCTTTCTTGCTACGTTCTTTAACCTAGAATAATCGAAAATAATTTCTTAACAGGAATTAAAATTGTTGCTAGTAAACAATTTCATTTTTAAATCTTTTATGAGCCTATTGATATTGTAAGCAAAACTAGAACAAATTTGGAATAAATTTTTGACGGACTATCAAAAAGAAATTAATTCATAAATATTAATTCAAAATAATCATTCAAACCAAACTCATGTGAAAACATTTGGAAGAATACTTGGCAATTTATTTCATTCGCCTTTAATAATCTGATGATTTTCTATGAACTAAAAGGTTACAAAATTCAAGTACTCTCAATTATCAAACGATTGAAAACTTCATTCAATTTCGTTCATCATTCCAGTTGCCAAGACCCTTATTAAACAACAAAGAAAAAAAGGCAAAGTTGACATGCTATTTTTACAAAAGATTCAACAAGCACCATAGGTCAATATCCGCATATTATGTATTTGGGCGATTCTCCAGATAAAAATTTTCAAAAAACCACCACTAAAATGAATTTTTTATAATTTTTTTCCATTAGAGAGCCTCGAAAGACAAATTAATATTGTACAACTTTTTAAACTCTACAAATCTGTATAATTAAATGCTTTCAATATACTCTAATTAAGGAAATATTTCGATTCTTCGGACGATTTCTCGAAGACAAAATATGGAATTTGGATTTTTATAATCAAAAATTAAGTATTAACAACTATTCTTTGACATATGATATAAATACCAATCGATAGAAAACGAACTACTTTATCATATATGACAACAATTTTATTAAGCTTAATACAAATTTCACAAGAAAATTCAATTCTTTTGATGAAAATTTTGTCTTCGAGTAATTTTTAAAGCGCTTGAAACTAATTTGTGAGATTCAAATTTTTCAAATACGTTATAAATTTAAATGGAATATTTTTAAAAGAAACGATGATGATTGAGTGCAAAATTAATTATTAATTACCTTTTGTTTAATTAAAACATATAAAAAAAAATGATTTTTATAAATTAAAACAAAATTTTATTTTTGTAAACAAGTCTTTGTTTACATTTTTCCCAACGTATTTCAAAAATTTAAAAATTTCAAGTAGCAGTGGAATTACAGTTCTGTTTTTAAAAATTCAACCTATCTGGAGAATCGCCCATTTACATTATTATGTTTTGAGAATTATCCGAGCATCAGTCAGTTGTTTGTCACACAAAATTAAGTTCAGCACAACTTGTTTACAAATTTCACAAATTAAATTTTCCAGGTACGCGAAAATAATTGAGCGTGAATGCTACAAGGCTAACAAAGTTTACTCAATGATTTCATTTGTGAATTTACTTGTTTATGACTTCCTATAAAATTGCAATTAAATGTATTATGAACAGATCCAATCATCAGTAAACTCATTATCGCATATTTAATTCCGCAAATACAAAATTTCAAAGCCAAACAAAATTTCGCTTCTGTAAATGAAAATTGAATTTGAGTATTTAAGAGGGAGTCATTCAATTATTTGGTCAAACTAGATCCGAAGTCAATTAAGGTTAATATTTTTTGAATCAACAATTTTAAATGAGGTGGGGAAAGTCAATATTTTGTAAAATTAGGCAGTATCAAGGGTTATTAGGGACACACAGAACACAGAAATTTTGTATCTTTACCTTAAACTGAAGCTAATCGATTGGGTGCTTCGAATAGCTTAAAAACTAGGCTGCCGTGAAAAGCGATGGTGGAGGTGAGTCCGATAACCTCAAAATCATTATTTTGGTTACATTTCAACACCACAAAGATGAATTACAGCAGGTTTAGAACCATCGTAACCCAAATTCAGCACATGCGAATTCATTCTCTCATTGTAATGTGATTTACAGAAATGTTCATCATTTTCGAACAACACCATGCCTACATGTGATGCTCCAAATTTAAACTGATTGAATTTACGCAATGAATATGTATCTATGCATAGATAAAAGTCTATAAAAATTATCCTTAAGTATTATTGAAAAAAGATTGAAGTCAAAAATGCGCATAATGTTGTTGTTCATTCGTGAAGCAAATAATAGTTGATGTTTATGTTAAACACAAAATTGAATTTCTCTTTTTCGAAAAGCATTCGATGGAAAAATAAAAATGAAAATCTTCTTTCTTCATTCTTTTGATTTTTATTGTTCAACTTGAAGCTTTTAAGATGAGGATGCAAGCATTCTTCAAACTAAAGTTCTAAACTTCAAGCTTTGAGATTTCGCATGTCTTAAATGATTTTATTTTCTATTTTAAAGTTTGGATTATTTCTGTTGAGAATCTTTCGAATTTTACAGAATTCTGTCTTTAGTGAATTATTTCTTTAATAAATTCGTTTTTAAGTTGTTGAGAAAATCTTTGAAGTTGAGTAAGAGAATAAGGAAAAACCTACATTCGTTTTTATATTTATTACTTCAAACTGTTGGATCTAAATAATAAAAGAATGAATCCAAAGATAAAATAAAATATTATTGATGTTTATTGTACACAGGATTGTACAAAATATTTCCTTTGAGATTTTTATTAAATCTGATATTAAAAATATTTGAAATCAGTTGTCAATGTGATAACATCCCACAGTTGTGAAATGGATAAATTAATAAAAACCTTTTAAAATGAATTTGTTTGATTTTTCACACTTTTCTGTAAAAGTGTGATATTCAATCTGCTCTGATGTTAGTTTCTCGATCAGAATCTTCTTATCCTTGATGTTGAAGCATGATATTTGAGTGCAATTTGTTTCTCTGATCTTGCACAGCACTCTAGTCGTCATTTTTAATGATGAAATTACTTTTTTTGTATCCTGAATATTCGCCTTGACATAAATCGGCTTTGCAGGCTTATCCTTGTCTTGGGTCGCATCTGGTTGATTCGTCTTCGTTGCTTGCAAACCATCACTAATTATTTCTGCATCGGTCTTAACCTTATTTTTTTCAACAGATTTTGATGGAATCGGTGAAATTGATTTTTTGCGCTTTTTTGTGCCCATTATTACTTTCCTCCACTTTAGCACTCACAATTCAGTTGAAATATATCCACGACACCACTTACAGTGCATGCAAGACTTCCAGAACTAATATTTTTAACAATTTTAATAATTTTCGTTGTTTACACTTTTGGTATTAGAATTATGTGCAGAGCACTGATGAAATGTATAGTGTTAAGGTCGACAAAATTATATTTATGTTAAACAAAAAAATGCGTAATTTAAAAAAAATCAAATCCGATTACAAAAATAAAAAAAACATAAAATTCAAATTTGAAATGACAGTTAAAATTGAAATCTCATAATAATTCTTAGACTTACCTATAGAAGGTTCCAAACCAATTTAATGGAACATAAAGCTGAATGATATAAGTCGCAAATAGAACGTAGTCACCGACAGTCAGTCTTTTGTGGTCGTCTTCATGAACAACAAAATATGCACAAAGTAAAGATCCGAGAAGTAATCCAATACAAACAACGATATTTTGTGCTGTATTTAATAAATTAAGTGTAAACATTGACTGAAATTCTTCCTTCTGATAGTCTAGAATTGCATCTTCATAGCACTGAATCTCATACTTTTCTTGTCCATAATATTTAACAGTCTCAAAATTCAATAATGAGTCAACTGATCTTGCACGTGTAGCATTGTCTGCGAGATTCATACGTCTTTGGAACTTTGTTCGCCATTCAGTGATTGCAATTGTCATTGCGATATAAAGAACCATTGTGACTAATACGATAGCACCAAACATCCAATTAAAAGCCGTCATGAAGAAAATTACAGCAACCAGAATATCGACAATTGTTGGAGCAATAGAGAAAAGAATATAATTGAGCAAATTGTTGATACTGTCAGTTCCTCTGTCCATAACTCTTAAAACTTCACCAGTTTTACGTCCAAGATGCCATCTCAAAGATAACGAATGAAGATGTCTAAACAATTCTACCTGAACACTCTTTGTTGTAAATTGTTGAATTTTAATCCACAAAAAACTTCTCAAATTATTAAGCACTCCCATACTTCCAGTTCCGCCACCTTGTAAGAATTTCATTCCAACATAAACTGAGATTAATTGCCAGGCGAATATAGGAGTTGGAGATGACAGAGCATCCACAATCCTCTTGTTGTATATAGGAACATATAAGTTGATGACACGACCGGCAATCAAAAGAACAAAACAGATGATGACGCGCGACTGAAGCAAGAAATCCTTTCTAGGCCACAAAAATGGCATTAATTGTTGACGCATTTTCCTATTAATAAATTCATTAAATTAATCAATGTACAATAAATTAATAAAGAGCATGTTTTACATCATTTTGCTGAGTAAGTTCTTCAAAGAGTGGAGCTTCATCGTCATCAGACTGTCTAATTCCAGGTGCGCTAATTCCCAAAACGAAAAGAAGTAGAGTACTGACATAACGTGTCACAAAAAATCCTAATTCATATCTATCAGTTTTGTTTTTAAGTGCAAACCACCAACTGTCAGAGTCAAGGTTGATAAGTGCGGCATTTTCGCAAACAAAAAGCAATGTAAAGAATATTAAGAGGATCATGCTGTGGGCTCGTGTTGGAGTTGAAGGAAGTTGATAATGTCGTTCTTTCATAATTAGACAAATTCCGAAAGTATACGCATAGATTGTTAACGCAGTGTACAGAATCTAAAAGTCAAAAGATAAGCACATCATTAAATTTGATGTTGCATACACTTTACTAATCACATTAAACTTACCATAAATCCATAAACCTCATGTGATTCGTAGACTTTCCATCTCAGAATCAATCGGACAATAGCCATAATAGGCATAATTACCATCAACATTATTTGAATGACAAAGAAGAAGGAGACTCTAAGTCGACGACTGTCAATTTGTGTAGCATATTTGCGATAAATGATTATTTGAGCAAATCCAAGCAGTAAGATGTATGCAGCAACCAACGAACTTGTAAAGGTATCGAAGAAACAGTGATTTACTGAATGATCAACCCATATATCGTAGAAACTAATATTCTTAGGACAAAAGCTTGTCACATTCATTTTGTTGATTCTGATAGTTTAAATCTGTGAAATAAAAAATTATGTTAAATTAGCTTTAATTAAAAAAATGCTTGTCATGGCTCTAAACTGATACAAGTGTCAAAAATTATTTTTTATTAATTGACTAGCTATTTCTTTGAGCAATAGATGGTAAGAATTATGTGCAAATCTTCATGTTCATAAAAAAAGTCAACTTCAATACAAGTTTTTGTAAAATTTCGTCAATTTATGATATTTAAAGAGACGGAATTAATTATTTACATAAGGACTAACTCTGTCTGAAATAAACTTCAGAAATAAAATACTTTTTCATCAAATTAAATCTGGCACTTGACACTTTATTACAAAGAATAATAGGCTTTAGCTAACAAGATAATCTCAGAGACGATAAACATCAGTAAATTGTTATCAGTCCATAAAAAATTAGTAGCACAAGTTTTCATCATGATTTTTCGTAATTTTAAGATCCATAAAACCTTAGTTTTTACTCACTTTTCCTTAATAAATTCTTTGAGTTTCCCGTATTGACAAACGCGTGTTTGATAATTAATTGTGATTAATCAAATATTTAATGCTAATTCATTATTTTTTATAAAGCCGATGATTCGCGAAATGAATAGAAAGAACTGATTCATAAATTTGTACTGGAAAAATTAGTTAATTTATTTGATGAAATACCAGGTGTGTTTTTTTAATGAATGAGTTGCGTTGTAAACAATAAACGCACGCATCCATCTATCAATCAATAATCTATCAATCAATAATCAATGATCTATAAAATAATTAATTAATTTAAAGAATAAATAACTTATAAAGTAAGTATTTTACTTATTTAAAATTATTTTGATCGTTATTCTAGTTTCATTTTTTTTGGTTTCATTTTTTTTGGTTTCATTTTTTTTGGTTTCATTTTTTTTGGTTTATTTTTGACTACGATTTTTTTATGATAACGTTTAAAAATAACTTTATTCTTGGTGGTTAGAAAAGTTTCACAATAGATATCGTAACAAGAAAATGTATAGTTGACGAAAAAAAGGAAAATTGAAAATCGAAAAAATTTGAAGGAAATTTTGAAAATACCGAAATTTCCGTTACAAAAAAAAAGTATAAATAGAGGTGCAGAAAAATTTTCAGCTCATTATTTTCCTGAATTTCAAAGAGGCAACATCGCGCTCCGTGTTTAAAGAAAATCGAAAATCGTAGCAATCATTTAAAATTTAACGGTTTTCAAATATTTGACAATCAAAACAAATAATTTTAATTATTGTGCCTCCCTCGGTTGTTCACACAAAGTGCTACAAGTTATATATTTTCTTGCTCGTGTTGTTTATGGTATTAGGATGTCTCAAGATCAATACCTACTATCTGAACGTAATGTGCCCAACATTCAATCAAGTTCTTTTTATCGAAGATTTTTAAATTGGACAGGTGCAAATTTCTCCGAAGTCGATGCAAAAATACCAAAATGGTACATTATGAAGAAGTTGCGTCGTATATCTTATGACACTTTATGTTGTCTTCAGGAAGCAACTTCTTTTTTTACACGTCGCAAGAACAAGGCACAGTCTTGGAGTAATTTTTATGTTGGATTGGATGAATATTCGACGGAACGTGACTTGAGTGAAAGTGAAATCTTCCAGCACATTATGAATGATTTAGTCAAAATAGTCGACAGCTGTATCGACAATGCTATTCCCTTGATCGTTGATGGAAAGCCTATTCATGTCGAACCCAACATGTCGAAACAACCTCCAGTCTACTTCTAAGCAATTGCAAGTAGCACGACGTAGATATTTAACAATTTAATTTATTGTATTATGACTTATCACTCATCTTTTCCAAATTCCTTGTTAGTGTTTTGGTCATGGACCAAATTATTGTTACCATTTTGGCATTTCATTTGTTGTTCCTCTATCACTCATCCCAATTGATCGTTTCCAAACCTATTTTGACGTTTGTTGTTCCTTTATCACTCATCCCAATTGATTGTTTCCAAACCTATTTTGAGGTTTGTTTTGTTGTTCCTCTATCACTCATCCCAATTAATCGTTTCCAAATTCCTCGTTAATATTTTGGTCATGGACCAAATTACCTGTTACTTTTTCGGCTCATCCATTTCTTGTTCCTTTATTTATTTATTTTCGTTTTGGCTATTTTCTTGTTTCCCCTCCCCGGGTTTAGAAGGATGTAATGCGTAACAGTTTTGTATGCTATATGCACGAACTAAGCCTCTTACATCCAAGTGCCTATCCTCACCTTCTCGTGGTTAAACCTGTTAGCTGAGAAATCAGTGACTAACGAGGAAGGCTATTTTAATGTTTTGAATAATTTCTATAAGCTTAGTCAAGTTTGTTCTGAGACGCTCGCATCGTGAGTTACAAATGTCATTAACAAAGTATCGAGTGACGAAATCGAGCAGAATCAAGATAAACTTTCGGAAGTGCTTTAAAATGTCAAAAAAGCTGACGACACTTGTGACTATCAAGGTTGCAAACAGAAAACAAATTTAATGGGCGAGGACTGTCAATTTTGTAAGAACAGATATTGCTACAAACATTCACTGCCTGAGATCCATGGGAAGTTTACAAAATGTAATGAACTGGTGAAGAAAAAGGAACGAGAAGAATTTCTCCATCCAAAAATAGACACAAGAAAGGTAGCACAGCAAGTTGAACATAATAAAGCTAAGAAAAACTTGGAAACTAAGCTTAAAAAGATGCAGCTTTAACGAAAGGCTAAACCATCGACTTCTGGAAAGAAGAAAAAGTAGCTATTGGAGCCTGAAATGAACAACTTGCCAGAATGCAACACTGGTTATATATACGAATCATGTTCATTGTTTTTCATAAAATATAAATAAATTTAATTTATTTCTTAACTCGAACTGTATGTTCTTAATTTCTACATATTTATTTTTTTAAAAACTTTTCTAAATGTATAAGCATCACCAATTCCGTAAGCAGGTGAATCTCGTATTCTGTGACCTCTCAAGTTGAATCCATTCAATAATATTGACGGTTTTCTTACATGCACACCTTTACCTCCAATAATCCATGGCTTGAAAATGCCTACTGTATTTTTTGGTAAATTAATTCCTATCCAACCTGCAGAAGACATAACAAAATCACATGCTGAAACGTGCTTATCGATTCCATCAATCAATTGCAATCTCATCATATAAAGGCTCTAATTTAGGCCATTTTGATAATCTATCTTCATTCATGGTTATTGGAACTCCGAGAAGTTCAGAACCTAGGAATTTCTCATAAAAATCATCAGCATCGTCTGTATTGCAAATTGTCACTGGAAGATGAAGAGATGAGTAGACAATAGCTCTTGTCAATTTGGGAACGTCTATAAAATCAAGTCTTGCTAATCCAGCGATAAAAAGTGACATTCCTGGTTTCATAAAGAACATTCGAGCACGAATCATGTGTCTTGGAAGTACTTTGAGAATTTCGTCTGTTGTAAGCTGTGGAAGGATCTATAAAATGTAAGAAATAAATTTTAAATTTTCAGATTCTAGCTGAGATTAATTTTTAATCCACGGCTTTAATTTTAAATCTCAGGATTAACCAAAACATTCATACCTGATCACTGTGCATAACTCCTGGCGTGTCAAAGCACCATTTACTTTGGATATATCTTTCTTCATTCTCATTTAATGTGAGAATCTTTCCCGCATATCCACCAGTATGTGATTGAGCTGCTGGATCTGAATGTTCCTCAATTTTTTCAAACGTTCTTCCAATATGTCCAATTAGAGTCGCATGCTTTATACTTTTTCTATCCTTTGCTTCTTGCCTTCGATATTCATCCTCCAGATATTTTGCACTTCTTTCACCTGCTAATCTTTGAGCTCTTAGTGCCACTCGAAAGTCTGATGGTCGTAAAATCGGGAATTTAAGCATTTTTAATGTCGTTCCTGGCCACGGAGATGCTGTAGCTCGTTGAATCAAGTTCGTTGCTTCTGATTTGCAATAATCTGATCTTAAAAACGCATTGAATAGAGAAGATTTACCGACATTTGTACAACCAATTAGGTAGACATTTCCTTTATACTTCCAAATTTGATGGAGTTTAGTAATCAGTTCCTCAACACCATAACCAGTTTTTGCAGATATTAATGCTGTGTGCTTAATACTTTTGTTTTCAAATCCCATTTTCAAGGCTTCCGATCTTAAGCTCTGCTTGACATTGTCCAAATAATTTTGGGAATCTCGAGGAATCAAGTCAACTTTATTACCAACTAGAAATATTGGTCTAGTCTTTCCAAGTATGTTTGATAGATTTGGAAATATTGAGCATGGAAAATCTAGTAAGTCGACCATAACAATTGCTAGTGCTGACTGATCCTTTATAGATGAAATTATATTAATGTAATCTTCAGGCTTAACTGATACACTAATAGCTGTATTATATTTGCTAAGAAAGTGACATCTCTGACAATGAACAGTCTTCAGTTCTTCTTTATTCAAGTCTGTGAGAATTTCACTCGGGAGATATCCAGGAATCGATGGGCTGTATTTATTAATGGATTAATTAAAGTATATTTTAAAGGAATTGACAAAACTTACTCTTTACAATGAAGTAATGCACCACATCCACCACAAGCAACGTTTGTGACTGGAAAATTGGTCCGGAGTTCCATATTCCGACTGTAACTCATCTTCAGCCTCATCATACAGTTCGTAATCTTTGAGCCAATTATTGGGAACTACTTTCTTATCCTCATTTTCTTGTGATTCCTTCAATTCACTGCTTTGAACTTTTAAGAATCTCGAATAAGGCAGTGAAGATACAGTAAATTCAACTTGTTTATGCTGTTTTTTAAAATCCAGTTCCTCTGTATCTTGTTCTTTCGGTTTTTCCTCGCACAACTGATTAAGCACTACGGGCAATGGAACAACACCTAATGCATCTTCTTGCTTTAATCTTCTCTTAACTAAACTACTTGTCTGTACCTCATCAAGCTTCCTTATTTTGATTTTTTGAACTTCCAGTAATGAATTAAACAAAATTCTGTCTTTAAATTTTTCAAGCTGCTCAGAATACTTGCTATTGACATTGTCTCTGTTTATTTCTGCTGCTAATGCAGCCACTGACTTTCGATGGTAATTTCTTACTAGGAAAGGTCTTATATTTCTTAGTAAAAGATGCATTAAGTTATGATTGAAGTTTTGTTTACAAAATACACGCTCGAAATTAGGGGAAAATTAATTGAAAAAAAGGGAAGTGTTGTTCAAATTTTTAAAAAGTCGTTAAAATAAATAAAATAATTAAGCTTTTCGTTCATTTTTATTCATTTTAGTACGAAGTTTAATAAGCTGATAAGTATGCATAAAATCTATAGAAAAATATTTCAGTTTTTCATTTTTAGTAACAATCTTCATAAAAATTCAATGATTCTTGTTTATAACAAGACGTGCCAAAAAAGTACTTCATAAGTAGGAATTCATTTGAGTAGGAAGTGCAATGCAACAGAAACAATTAGAGCTATAACTAATCCAATAATTCCCAAAATCAAAATCAATTTTCCAGAGTCATTAGTTGTTAAGTTGACAGTTTCTTCACAAATTCCAGGCGAGTCACATTTTTCCGGTACTTTCAATTGTGCAACAGCTTCAGCACTAATATCAACATCAGATGAATCTAAATCAACACCTAGAATATCCATTGATTGTTTAACAGTCGTTTCCTCATTCTCATTTTGGAATAAATAGTCACAAAACGAAATTGGTGAATTTACAGGATGAAAGAAGACTCGTCTCGGTGGAATTGTGCTATTAACATCCTGATCTTCATCATTATCATTTCCACCATCATCATTTGCAAGCAAAGCATCATAATAGATTTGAAGTCTTGTCGTAATTGATCGAATTATGTCGTTTCGGATGAACCTTTCCATTTCAGCTATAGTGTTTAATTAATTAATTAAAAAACTAAATATTTGAAATCAAGAGATAAGTTGATGATTGATTGATTGATGTATGTGACACGTCCACAATAAGATGAATGAAAACTCGTAGTTCAGCCACAATAAATTTATAAAATCTTAAAATCACATTTATTATTATTCGAGAGCAAGAACAACATACATAGCAACTTCAATTTAGTTATTATCTAGTCTCTTAAGGGTAATTAAAGCACAAGATAAAGAAACTTGAAGCAAGGAAGCAAATTTATATTCATAACTTATTGCTCCGAGCTGAAGTTTGGTATTTCATTGCTGAATTTTATTATCCGATCGGCTTAAATTTCGGCTTAGCATCGGCTAACTTGAAATTTACTTTTTTCCTTTACTATGGCTAGTTTTACGATGCCACGCTACATAAAATATAAATTGTTTATTAGCTGTTTAATTTATTGAAAGTTGGTACAAAATTAACTTACACAATTGTCCTGCAGTAACAAATTGTTTTTCACAGTTTGTGCAATTAAAGAGTTTTCCTTTACTATGCAGTAATCTGTGTTGATTTACTTCTATAGAGGGATGTGAAAATTAAATAATTGTTAGGTTTAAAATTTTTTGTTTAAACTAAAATGTATTTTAATAATTTACCTCTCTTTGTGCCAAATGATAACTGGCAATCAGAACATTCATACTTTACTCCAACTCTATTGCGCTTGCGATCATGTATGGTAGCAATGTGTCGTTTCATATGACCGTTTTCAGTAAAATTTAATTTACATATGGGACATGTAAATTCTTTTAACTTCAAATGTACACAGTTCATATGGGCTCGTATTGAACATTTATTTTTCAATTTTAGTCCACAGAGATCGCACTCGAAAAGATGACTTTGATGTACCTTTTTGATATGCTTTCTTAAACTCATTTGTAAACCGAATTTGTGTCCACATTCACTGCATTCAAAGGTCTTCTTATCATGCACTTTCGATCGATGCTGCGGAAGGTATCGTTTGTTTGCAGTAACAAATGAACAACCATCATACGAACATGCAAAAGCAATCTTTGAGTGTCGTGTCTTCTTATGTTTATTCATGGCATATTTTAATTTTGATGTATATGGACATTCTTCGCATTTGAATAACTCAAAGTCTATCATATGTGATGTGATCATATGATAAATTAAACTAGGTTTCGTTGCAAATTTTTTTCCATCGAAGTCACATTCATAAGGTAAGTTGAAATGAACAGAATCTTCATGCTTAATCAAATATTTTTTGTTCTTGTAATGAGCTTTACAAATCTGCAAATGAATAAAATTGTTTTTAATTTCAATAATTTTAGCATATATTGAACGTTCTTACCTTGCACACAAACAGCTTGCCACTATAATGATTAAATATCATATGATCTCTCAATTTCTTTGGGCTGGATAAAATGACCCTGCACTTCTTGCACGGAAAAGCTGGACCATTAGAATGTGCAGTCTTCAGATGTTGTGTGTAAGCTCCTTCTGAGATAAACTCTCTGCGAAATAAACAAAAAAACGTAATTAATTCACAAATAAATAAGTGAAGATTTCATCAAAGTACTTACTCTTTACAAAATTTACAATCTATACGCTTCAAATCCTGAACTGTATGTATTGTCATGTGTTGCATTACTTCCTCCTTTGTGCTGAATCGTACTCCACAGTGGCCACAGAAGAAAATAAAAACATAAAAACATAAACATAATGAAAATGATAAAAAAATTGTTGCTTAATATAGACTCTAACCTTAATAGCACAAGTCGGTTAATAGAATAGAAACCCGGCCCAAAGACGGCATGATTCTAGAATGGTGCTGGCTTTCGAATAAACCGGCTTGTGCCATTCGGGTACTATCGGACGTCATTTAGAACGGCGCCAAAGACTTCCAGCTTACTGAACAAAATCTTTCATTATGTTTCTTCCTTTGTTGCCTTATAAGGAAGAAAGACTAAGTGTATATGCAATTATGAAGTAAGCAATCTCAAATAAAAATCACTTCAACTCAAAAGCTTAAATGCTCATGAATACAAATCCCCAAAATCACCAACTCTGACTAGCTTTTTCACAAAACAATTTTTTTATTTTCAAAATTAAATCAAAAAATCTTAATCTCAAGCAGAATGGAAGAAAGAGAATGGGGTTTTATTTCTAAACTATTGTTTTTAGTATCTACAAAATATATATATTTTATACAAGATAAACACACTAAAGAAATTCCTTTTCAAGTTGAATTCAATGAAAAATTATTTTTTGTTCATTTCCGTCCTTTTTGTTTGTTTGCGGTGCTTCTTCTTATGCTTTGTGAAAAAAATCTCCTTCATTCTCTTTCTCACAGAGATATTAAAATTTTATAGAATAAAAAGAAAGCAAAAAAAAATGAATACTTTATTCATAATGCTTTTAAGATGAAAAATATTTTCACGCTGTTTATGTCTTATTTATTTGAAGCGAACGCTTTCCACTTTTTTTTCTGCTTCTTCATTCTGTTGTTAAGAGTCTGCATTAAGCATAAAACTTTGTATGCAATTCGTTAAAGCTATTCACGTTTTTGTGTGTGTCTGCATTGAATATCTTCCACACCTTTCTTCCTATCTCTATTTTTATTTGTCTTCTATGAATTTTCACCTTTTCCTTTTATCGTGTTTTGTGAGACAATTCAGATTTATTATCTTTGCACTTTGACTGTGCATATTTTTGTGGTTCAGTTTCTCATTTCCTTGCAAAAAGGCTTCTCAATAAATTGTGGCTGTCACCTGGCTACCATTGCTATGGAATTAAATGAAGTATATTCAATCTTTTTATTCTGGACACTCTTCAAAAGCAATGTTACCCCACCCCCCTCTCCCTTTCATCCTATTTCTCTATATTATATGTAATTTTAATACAGAAATTAAATTTAATTACTCAAATCAAAGTCAAGAAGTGGGGGGACTTAAAGTTTTTAAAATGAAACGATAAACTTCTGGGGAGGTTTTTAAAATTATTTTAAAATTTCCTATAAAGTACAAAAAGGAGGTTGACCACAAGCTTAAAAAGTATGTATACTTTAAATAATAAATATCATAACCTGACTAGCCCCATATTCTCATCTCTGAATTATCCCAATTAAAAACGCACAGTTGTGGAAATTTAATTTGGCAGATATTTATCAAATTTATTTGAATGACAGTTAATTGGCGCAAAGCATGTTTATCCGCGCTCGTGACATATAAAGTGGGAACTATGGCAATACCACATTATGACCTGAATCCAGCATCAATGATTAACTGTTGTGTGAAAGCAATATGGTCTTTCTAGTGGAGATCGGTGGTGGTATACGGGTATTTAAGCATTGAAGCTCACGTTTTTCAATGAATCGGTAAAGGAATTAATTCGAGTTTTGATGATTTTTCTTAGTCTGTGCACTTCCCTCAACATCCAGAACATTTTTGTTGGATCTATTAAATTTATATTCATTTCTTCTATTAAAAATTTAATATTAGCAAAATAGAAAAGGCGCGTGTATGCTTTAAATGAATGCCATCAAAAGATCAAATTCAAATCAAAAAGTTTGCAAACATTTATCAAAAATATTTATTCATATTTCCATCGAGAGACAAAACAAACTTGTTTACAAGACCTTTTAAACTTGATATTCTTCTAGTTGCATGTAAATACATCATTTCAAGTACTCTTTTCATAGCTATTTGTATTCATGCTCCTACATTCACTATCAACGTTGGAGAGTTGTGCTGATCATAAAAACAAGACGAATCCTGATTGTGTTACAAACAATTGCAGAAAATTAATTTCGTTCTCACTTTTTTTTTTTAAATGAATGAAGCGCTATGAAAAGCATAAAAGGAATGTCTGATTATAGAAGCGACAGAATAATAAATCACTTGAAATCATAAACATAAAATGCATTTCTGACGAAAAAAAAAGAGATTCAGTTTTCCTTGAGGTTTGGGTTTTTGACTGTTTTTCTACCCGTTTCTCTTTCCTTTTGTACTTCTCTTCTTTTTCGTTGTCCTCTTTTCGGAATAACAGCACAAAAATAAATAAAAAATTTCACACTATAGAGAATAATTCGAAATGAATGTTTTCAATTGAATTGATTTCATTTTTACGCTACAGTAAACTTTTTAGATATTTTTTTGTTATTTAAAGTATCTAGCTGTTATATTTTTTATTTATCATTTTATTTTTTTCAATTCTAAATTGAAGTTTCTATTTTTTTGTGCTGTTCATAAAGTTGGGACATCCATACTTTTATTCTAATCTCAATTGATTAAAATTTTTGGATGATAAGCTGATTTATGCGAAGATGAGCCACATATATTAGGTCTAGACATGTTACAATAATCTATATTAAGACTTACATTTGGTTCTTTTTATATCCAAACCAAATGCCAACAAAATCTAGTCCTAGTATTAAAAACAATTACTAAAATATCGAACTTAGTCAAAAACAAAAATCATGACTAACCCCTAGGACCTCAAAACTAGTTGTATGATTTTTTAAATACAAATATATATCTCAGATAGACATCCTCTTTGAAATAAAATGCCAAATGATTTTATTTTATTTCACAGTACAAATATATTCTTCCAGTTCGTTTGACTTATTATTGTCGACATTCAACAAATATCACAGCAATTATTCTGTAAAAAACAGGTCAATATTCAGTACTGTGAAAAATGTGACATCATGCAAGCAACTGTATAAAGTTACTTGAAAGTATTAGATAAAGTATTTTTGATGCTTCCTCATCGATGTTTCTATGGAAATAACAACAAATATTCTGATACAAAAATGCCCACAAGCATGAACAAGCATAGAAGAAAACAAAATTAATTGTTTTGGGTTAAAAATAATTTTTTTTACTCATGAATGGATAAACAATGACATGGCAATATTTGATAAGCTTTATTGAGTTTTATTCGTAATAACACCTCCGGAAATGACAAAATATCTAATTTCAAAAAAGCTAGTTTTTTTTCAGAGTATTAAAAAACAGTCAAAACATCCTGTAGATTATCATATTAGGAAGAATAATGGCTAAATATAGTTGATGTCTTACAAAAAGAAAATTTAATATGATTTATTATTAAATTCTGTATTCTTATCCATCAACCATGGCAACCTTGCGAGAATAATATTTCTGATATTGTGTAGGTTGAAGATAAAAAATGCCTTATAGGATAATAATTCTGAGGAATAGTCTTGAGACGATTACAACAAAGTCCCACAAAAATACTCTTTAAATGCTCTTAATTTAATTTCATCATATTTTGAAAAAGAAACAACTTGTTATTATATTTGGTACAATACTCAAGTAATACTTGATTTTGTACTTGAGTTGTCTAGGTTGAAGATCTTTGAACTTGATTCTTGTGAAGAGATTTAAAAGTTTCAATGATTCTAGCAAATTTTGAAGTTATCAGATATTATTGACCTCTGTAGAAATATTTAACATAGAAAACTGTTACACAGCTCAAGACCAGTGCAAGCTATATTCAGTGACATTACTAATACAATGAAGTTCTTCAGACACTCCTGAACTTCCTTATCTTGATAAGCTTGAGAAGCACTGTTGTAACGAACTGCTGTTACAACGAAAAGTCGTTAAGGAATTATTTGAACTATTTAACGAATTCTTGAAATTTGAATATTTGTTCCAGTTGCAAACCCCTCTTAAATAGTTTTTTTTTACAAATCTTTGACTTAACATTTTGAGACGTGAAGATAGAACAAATAAATTATTTAACGACGTTTCATGAAGAAATATGTAACAAACGTCATTTTTGAACAACTACTATTTAATTTCTTCTACTAAATACATTTTAATCAGAACTTAAAGAGCACATATTGTTAATCTCCTTAAAACTATAACAAGCTATAGCCGAGCGGCACACAAGCGTCATATGACGGTCATATGACGGTCATATGACGATCGTCATGGTCACAAAGACGTCATGAATGACGATCATATGATCATCATATGACGATAAGACGTTATCACGACGTCGTTTTGATTGTATTTACAACGCCATATGACCGTCATTTGACAAAAAAATCGTCATTCGACGATCATACGATAACGTCATATGACGATCGCGTGATGGTCTTTTGACGAGATTATGACGGAATAACGACGGCACGTTATCAGTTCAGTGACGATAAAAAAATCATGAAATATGCTTAATATGGGCTGAAAAATAAAATATCTTAAATAAATTGAACTGAGTGATTTAATTTTTATAATTTTAATTTTTACAATTTACCAACAAAAAAAATATTGGATTAAAGAATTTCCACTTTCACTACTATCCAATCTTTAGCAGGTTCCTTCATATCCTGGACAAGCTTTTGTTTATTGATGGCGTTCTTTGGGGGATATTGTGTAAACACGTTACCGTCTTCATCGAAAATCCAAGAACTTGGAACCATGAACAATCCATTCTTTGAGTCTAGTACCACAGAAAACTGGTGCGTTAACGAAACAATTCTATAAAAAACCAATAAAAAAGTAAAACTTGTAATAATTATTTGGATTTACAAACCTTATGTTTGAACTGGTGTAATGCTAATGCCTTCAAATTTTTTTCACAATTAAAACACTTTATAAATACACGTCTGTATTTTTC